ATGCCGAAAGGAAAGTTGATGAGCTCAAGCAGGTGTTTGACTGCACACCTGTCGCTGGTGCATCGTACGTGGTGTGCCGTTCGCGAGTCTGGCACCTCCTGACCTCTGCAGTGCTCGTACAATTCTCCGACCCTCTAATATGTGAGAACCAAGCCTGTCTGCTTCCCAGGCACCGTGCAGCCCACCAAGGCTACAGTCAGCCATCCAATTTCGATGTGCCCCACAGAAACATCTTCGCATGCAGGCATTAGCGCTCACGTCGCGCAGTAACATGTGCTGCGGCATCTGAAACAGTGCAGCATAGGCCGTGGACCTGTACTCTGACGGAGTGTGCCGATGGTAGGAGCGTTGAGCAATAGGGCGGTGATGCTGCAGGGGCACACTCCATCGCCAGGCAGCTGCATTGTGTTTGCCTAACTAGCACCAGAACACAACAACACATATTTACGCATTTTCTTACAAGACATTCATGATAAATTAATCTGAACGTCAAAAATTTGTTTGTCGATACATATTTTGAGTGTTATGGTGCACAGTAGAGCTGCGTGTCAGGACACATTATAAGTCGCCTTTAGACCAACTCTACGGCCTGGAAGCTACCCTTTCCATTTCTGTAGATATAGAAAGTCGCTCCCTTCTATTTCTGATTCGCCACTTGTGGTATTTAATGGCATTAAAGCCACTGATAAACATCTGAGCTGATAGCGAAGGGATCTTATGCTGCAAAGTAGAAATACTTGGGGAACGTTGTCTTTGAACTATTTTGAATTATAGGGTGGCGGTAAGCTAGTCTCCTACATGGGGAGCAGTCATGCTAGAGACTCCTGAGAGAAAAGAAAGCACCCATGAATCATTATTCAGCGGGAACTGTCGGTTTGGGAATCAGGCAATGACGAGAAGCACATTCACCCAAGACTCATGCAATAGCATTTCTTTGTTGGCACTAAAAGAGCGGCATTTCGTGGTGTAAAATGTGTTTTCTGTTTATAATGCGATTCCCGGCTTCTATGGATTCTAATTGAGTCCTCTGTTTTTGACTCAGATGAATCTGCTCCGACTGCCGAATTTCAGAGTGACGAATGAGTGAAGCACTACAGCGTTGAGGTTGACCTGCTACGGTACAAAATAATACGGAAACTCCTTTGCTTGTGCATTCGGACTTCTCTCTGCAATGCCTTCTTGCTCAAGGGACAAAAACTTGAATTTTTGGCTGTTATGGGATTTGGACTAAGGTGGGAAAGCTCTTACAGTCTCTCTGGTGACCTAGGATGCATCTCATAGCAGAGGTTTATGCACTCTCATGCCCAGATTCTCGGCAGCTGAAGTCGCGGAATTCCCTTTAACCTAAACTTTTGCACAGCCTGAGGGCTCGTAAAAGAATTCGGACTTGCCTGAATTTAGTCTCTTTGTTGAGGTGGCGTAGGTCAAGGCTCAGGACAGCATCTTCCTCTTTGAGAGACCTGGCCACAGTGCCTCTTTCATCCCTCTCTCCAGCTGTGTCAAGGCTCAAGAAATCATGCGCTATGTTTGAGAGCTTTACGAATTCTCCAAGAGTGTCTTCATTTAAAAAAATGGAAGCCTGCAAAGTCGTTCTGGCGTGGCTCTATGGCCCCCTACAAGTTGAGTATTATAAGCCTACTGCGAGCTGTTCCGAGACAGATGGACAGACACCTCCAACCAATCATACTGTTATGCAGTATGTACGACTCTATGCTTACAAGCATTCAATTGCATGCCCCGACTTTTTCCTGTCCTGGGTGGCTTTATAATACAACAGTACACTCGTCAACCTCGTGTTCTCCGCATCCCTGTTCTCCACCTCGAAGTGTCTCTTCCACCCCAGCCTGGACCTGGTGGTCCGGAGTCAGCCGCCACCCTTAGCAATGGAAGGATTCAAAAAGCACCTGACTAAAGCATGCAAACGCGGGCGCAAGAGATCAAGAAGTAGAAGCACCGAATTATGATAGGCAACTGGTAATTGTTTTTTGAGTCCGCAGATTTGGTCCTGGTGGATCGGAAGCCTTTTCGAGGGGCACACCATGGTAAACCAACGAAAAGGCTTGCCGCTAGGTGGCTTGGATAATTTTCTATTCTCCCATGAAAATAGTTTTGTAGTTGTATCAATTTCCCGATCAGTTAAAGGTGCCACAAAGCTATCACGCGTGACTTTGAGAGAAGGCTCAGACTTCCCAAATCATTCGCGAAATTTGCCCTGAAGGCACATGACATGCTTTGAAGAAGGGGATCCACAAAGAGCCGTAGATGTGCTGCATCGTAGAATTATCGACCGCCAAGCACACTCTGGACGGGTGTTTCTAGTGAGATGATGAGTGGAACGCCAACTTCATTCGATGAAGGAGGAGCAGGAGTGGGGTATGTTGTCTTCGAAAGAATTCGCATGGCTCCTTGAACAACGCTGGTTGCTATGAACATTATTCCTCGCATTTCGGGGCATTGTTCTGTGAGGTGCGGAGACACTGCGGAAGTAGTGTATGCGTTTGCTTCGCTTTACAGACCTTGCGGGTCTTCTTTTTGTTTTCCGGAGGCTCGCACATTTCTGCGCTCCGACAAGAGTAAGTCATTGAGCCAACGCCTTCATTATGACTTGGTGCCTCATTCAGTGTGTGCCATTTTTTCGCTCAACTGGTTTTACGAGTACATGCAGACTCCCCCCTTCTAACTTCCCATGTTCCTTGTGTTTTTGCCTGCCTGAGGAGCAGCAATAGGATGGGAGCTGTTAAGCTGTGCTGCACGCCGTTCGTTTGAATAAACAGATGCTGAACACAAGACGTGCTAAGCTATACTATAACACGTGCTACTTCACCACTCATATTTAGCTAGGTATTGGTGAAGAAATGACTGATTTGTTTGTTTGTATATCCTCTTTTTTGCAGAGTACTGTCAGCTCCATACACGAAGACGTAATGCTGTGTGGACGTGCACTAGATACTATGTGCAAACTAGCTCTGCTTGGCTGAAATGCTTAAAAGTCCTGCAGAAAGCATACTAGTTGTCCCTCTCCACTCGGGTCTAAGCTCTGAGGGGCCGGGTCAGGTGAAGGAGACAACACTTAGAACGGCCCTCAGTAATTTTCTATTATGTTTGTATTATTCGGTCACTCATTTTTCCATGAAGTTTGCATCGAGCCTGGAGTAGAGTGTCTCTCCACGGGGGCCTTAGACGGAGCATTACGTTGCATACTACTGATATACCTCTCGCTTAGCCTCTCTCTTAAGGCCGGATCCCGGTGGGCAGAGGACGTGTAAAGGCGGAAGCTACTTTTAGAAGAATATTCAATAACTTTCTATGCTGTACATTTTGCGTTTGGCACCGAAGTGCCACTATCGTGGAGTGTTACAGACATTCACAAAAAAAATCTCATCGTATTAGCTAATTCCACTGTACGACATAGCCCGTGCACACGAGCTATCACAATAGCTTTTCCATAACTACTACATAATCGAACTCACCTAGAGTAAAGAGAATGCCAAGGCGCAGATTTAGCCAGCCACACTCATGAGGCGTTATGCCTGCGCCTATACTGCGAGCGTATGAACCCAACGCCACTCTGCAACAGATAGAATATACTAAGAGCCAATCTAACGACGAAATTCATAGGCAATTCGGGAGTACGCCACACATGCGTGGTAGAAAGTGCCCTTGTAAACCTTTGCCTGCTGACGGAGGAGCTCCGTGGCGCTGGAGCACTTTTTTAAGAACATAGGGGAAACGCGTGACTGTGAAGCAGGAAATCGCATGGAAACAGGAAAGCATCCAGTTTTCAAATCACATCCTGATGGCACGGGAGCCAAAACCACGGAATACCAAACGATAACCAACGCCAACCACAACCGCGTCTCTGAACGAGTTTGCACTCCCGGATCTCAGCAGATGGTTCGAAGCATCACTAATGAGAATGCACGTGAAAATAATGAGCATTTAGATTCCTTTCCTTGGGTAAGGGAGGAATTGGCAAACAAACACCTTGCCTCGGTACTGGGCGGTTCTGTATCATTCCCTTGCTTCCCCATGTAGGTGCCACAAGAACAGCGCCCTCGCACACTCGATGGCGCACAGAGCTGCTTCGGCGTGCTACCTTCAGCAGCAGCGACTTCGAGGGGCCCTCCCCCAAGCTTCGGGGAATAAACGGTGCGTTTTGTAACTAGCTATTGCAGTATTTGGACATGGTAAACTTCGTACCTTGATTGAACGTGTTGTGGCTGTACTCCAGCATATGCCTGGGCCCTGGTCGCCTCCCCCTCTGCCCCTCCGCATGTCTGCGGCTGACACACTTTTTGGTCTGTTGTTATCGGGAGGTTCTTGCTTTTTGCATCTAAGTATCTCTGATACACCCGTTTTGGGCATAGGAAAGGTTTCCCACTCTTCCATTTGCTCTCTGCCCTCCCCCAGGGACCACATAGCAAAAACCCCTGTGGCAAGAGCTCTGCAACGCAGCTTAGACCCCTCTTTTTGTGCAGCCGTCAAGGGAGATGCTTTGTGGTGTTTTAAGGCGCGGTTATTCTTCTTCTTCAACATCTGATGCCTAAGTAGCAGCTGAAGCGCGACTGCCTCGTTTTAAAAGCGGAGTTGCGTTCGACGGTGTACGGGAAGCACTTTACTCAGGAGGAGCAAATTGCTGATTAAATGCCGAATTACAGCCGGTCCAACGATAGGCAAATATTACGTATTTGCTACCCCTCTGTATTGGGACGACCATGAACTCTCCCTTTCTTTGGCGCTCAAGGGCTTCAGCTTAAGGTGCCTCTCCTTCTTTCGGGGCGAGTTGCACGCAATTGCAGCTGGAACGGGAAAATACCACATACCGTCTTCCGGACTGCGGTACTACGACTCTCATGCAGCCTTTGGTGCGGTGTTGAGGAAACGGGGTCGAAGCGGCTGAGGCTTTTAGCCTCAAACGCACCCGCCAGAGCGCAACCATTTGTCTGCCTGGTGTGCCTTTTTATACATTGCTTCTCAGTTTACTATTTGCCGCAGCGACCATGGAATCCGATATCGTTCCTGAGTTGCATCCAGAGGAAGCTGTTCAGTACGGCTGCATCGCAGAGCAGGTGCTCGCACAACCGGAAGAGCTGCTGCAACGCGAGCAGCAACAAACACTGCACCAACAAGCTTTTCGGCGGGAGCTCAATCTGCAACAGGATCAGAAGCACTGCTCCCGGCAGCAGCAACGTCAGCAGATGCCGTTGCAACAGCAACAGCAGCACCAAGGTTATTCAACATGTGGGGGCGACGAGGGTGTGGAACCTGCTGGACCACTTTTTGTCGAGAAGATGTCTTTATTAATGGAGCAGTTGGCGACTTGTGGAGACGAGACGAGTGGACGGCCTACTGTAGCCACACGATTTGACGTGAGTGTCGATACGCAGCTCCGAGTGGATGACGACGCTCGAGGTTTCACAGTGCAAGCAACTGTCTGCTTGAAAGCTCTCTACCGAGTGTAATGCGGGTGTCAGTTGCTTTATTCGTAATTGGTTGCAAGGCGTTTTATGCACAATCCATTTGAACGGGTTTGCGTCTCTGCGTATGCAGTCTATCTGCCCTCCCGCCACTACCATTTCGGCTTACATCCCCCGCCTCTACCGACACTTCCGCTGCTCGGAGGAGGTATTCGTCTTCGCGTTGATATATTTGGATCGTGTGATCCGAGAAAACAACATCAAGATCAACGCACTCAACATCCACAGGCTTGTTCTAGCGGCCAGTGTCATAGGGGTCAAGTTCGTGGAGGATGTGCGGTAAGCTTGAAGAAGCGATGAGTGGCGATGTGTGCTGCCCAGGGTGTCGAGCAGTTTTTCGACGTCGCGTCACATCAGCTGTTGCTTGCCTGCATGCGAAAGGCGTGTCTGCGAATTCTTTTTGCGCTCAGGTACAGCAATCGATACTATGCCAGGGTTGGTGGCGTGGGGTTGGCGGAGCTGAATCGGCTCGAGTTGGCGTTTTTAAAGCTAGTCAAGTTTGATCTTGCTGTATCGAAGGAGGATTACGAGACGTACCGCAAGACTGTGCTCCTCGCCTGCCCTAGACGTTCCGCAGCCGAAACTACAACTTGTCGAACAGAGCAGCAGCTTTCGCAGCAGCATGCGGAGGCGAATAGCGCCGCTTCCTGCGAGGAGGCGCCAGAAGGTCCTTCCTCGGGTGCAGCTTCGAAGGTTTCTTCAGACGCCGCAGGGGACGAGTTCGAGTCGACAGCTGCTACTACCACGGCTACTGCTACTACTGCGAATATCTCGAGCACGCCTACTGCTGCCGAACCGCCGAGGGCTCTGCATGCGCTGGCTCAGCAGCAAGACAAATCTCAGGAGACTCAGCAGCAGCAGCAGGAACAAGCCTCTTGCTTCCGCTGTTTCGTGGCAGTATCCAATTCGTCAACTGTGTCGACGACTCCGGAGTCTGGTCCTCCCTATGTGCCGCCTAGTGCTGCATGTGGCACTGCGCCTTTTCGGGGGGCTGTTCAGCAAGGTCACATTCAAGACAGGAATGTTCGTGCAGCTCACCGAGACGAGAGCGCTTCTCAGGAGGAGGCTTTGAGGAGGCATCTCGTTCAACAGTGGCACCAGCACGGGGGAGAGCGGCAGTGGCAGAATTGCGGTATGGGGTTCGTCGGGATTCAACACCAGGAGCAGCTCCCGCTGCAGCATGCGCGTCGCGTGTTGCAGTCGCAGCATTACCAACTGCACTGTTGGGATTGCGCTGCTGCTGAACAGCAGCAGGTTCCGAAGCAGCCGAGTCGGGTGCACAGTCAGGAAAGGGTTCAAGAAATGCAGCAGCAGCAGCATCACCAGCAGCTGCTAATGGCGCAGCAGTTGCTCCTGTTGCGAGACTATCACCATCAGCAGCAAGTGTTTCAGGAACAACACCATCAGCAGTTACTTCGCCAACAGCAGCTCCTCATGATGCGCAAGGGAGAATACATCATGTACGAGGCTTCTATGTCGCCAAGCAACAGCTTTGCGCCCTCCCGGAGCAGCAGCAGAGATAGTCTGTCCTTGTGCGGTGGCTTTGGAATGGAAACTGATGACAAGATGACCACAGCTGCAAGTGATGAGGAGCTGCAGCTCGCCAGCCCAATGAACGCTCTAAGAGACGTGCTCGCTGCAGAGGCTCCCTGATCTGCGTGCTGCCTCTCGTCCTTGTACGCATGCGAGACGCCGCACAAAATACAACGGCCCTTTCATTTAAGCCCCCTGACATTTCAATTCCAAGAAGGAACTCTTCTTCTCCCTTCTTACCGCTTTAGCCGGCACGGAGCTCGCCGACCAGAGAAGTGTACAGCACATGTATACGTACATATGTTGTACAAGCAGCAACTTGCTTCGCTCGGTTCTACAGATCCTCTACAATTCTTCTGCCACAGAGCGCCTACTAGCGACAAAAGTCTGCAGCGCCGAGACTGCAATTGGGCTTTCCCCAATAAACGATCGATGCCCACTTGCGTTCTCGCGTGGGTGGTCGTGCTAAAACCCGGCTAACTGCCACCATGGTAATTCGGTAAAAACAACACGAATTGCTCATGTGTATGTCCACCAAGGAGTACGTGCGGCCATTCGTTCTGCACGCGGGGGAGAAGATCCAGTGCGCTGGGGTCGACTCAGCTTCCTCGTGAACGCCCGATTTCTCCTGGCTCGTGGACTGCACAGGATGTGATAATCGACAAGACGCATTCGTTGTTGGTCTCTAGCGTCATGGTGAACGGCTTTTGGTATTTAAAGGCCTCTATGGATTCCGTTTCTTGATCCGTCTTGATTCTTCAATTTTAACGTCCAGACTGCTTTTCTTTGGGCTTTTGCGGGATCTCAGCAGCATCAGCCCCTCTTGTTGTCCGTCCCCCTCTTCTACATCTCCTCCTGCTCCTTCACGTGATTCTCATGTTGCTTCGAGCCCTCCTCCCCCTAGTGTCTTTCAAGCTGAGCGCTTGTAATGTTGTCGCAGTGCTCTGATGGCTGCGTTGTTCCGCTGCCGTCGAGTATTTTTTCTTCTGGGCTAGCTGGAGTCAACAGTGGCCTGCGCGGCTTCTCGGTAGCCTCCGAGTGCTCAGGGATGCAGTAATTGAACGGACTATCAGAACTAGACATGCCCTCCTTCTCATCTTCATGGATCCCAACTGGGGTTCAACTCGAACGCGGTTGGGGAAGCTGCCTTCAGCAGTATCTATCATCACGTCCCTGCGCACGTTGCAGGCGATGCAGCAGCCCGCTGTTGCCTGAGCCGTTTTTCTTCCCGTGGTTCGCTACCCATGACTCCGCCAAGCAGCAGTTACGCCGGTCTAGGGGGCACACTGCCCTTCCGTTCATTGTAGACGGCGTTACAGGCTCAATCTGGCGCTGTCATCCCTCTTGACGTACCCAAGATATGAAGCCTTTGTCGCACCCTTTCTTCAGCAGAAGATCATTTTGCAGGCAGGGTTCTGCTCGGGCTTTTTGCTTTCGTTGCCTTGTCTTGTTCTTTGGCTTTCGTGGTGTGCCTCGTGGGCTGTGGCCTAGCCTTTCATGTATTTAGGTGAAGCTGCTGCTGTGACTGGTGTCAGTAGTGGTTGGGCCAGCCCTTAAACGGCGTAGGCGAGCGATCACCAAATAGCCGACTTTCAGGGTTCATGAGGCTAATTACTGCGTTTGGTGATGGGAAACGTAGCGTAGCAACAAGAAATCAAAGAAAGCATGACTGTTTGGGGCTTGGAAGCACCCGACCCAAACACTCCTTTGCTGCTCATTATTGTCCGAAGTTCTTTATGACACTTCTGACGCACCCTGAAATTGCACCGGTGTCTTGGCACGTAGCCAAGCGGCTGGAGAAGGAGCTACTGGTGGTATACTGATATCAAGTGATGTTGAGGACAGATAGGGAACACTATCTTGGGCCATGGCTACACATGGTAAGGTTCATATTGTGCAGGGTACCTGCTATAAATGCATACGTTTCTTCGGGATTGACTGGTGTGCATGCGCCTATGTAATTGCTAAAAAGGGCGGATAACCCGTCAATGGAGCGTTATATCGAATGTTCACTGTGGTTCGTCTCCGTGGTGCAATCTGATATTTTGGGCCGCCAGGTTGCTGAGGCCAGCAGCAGATTGAATCAACGGGTTGGAGGAAGAGGTATGGCGTATGCTCGCATTTTCAAGGGGGTTTTATAAGGCAGTTTGTGACGAGAGGCCGTTGTTGGTATGGGCAAAGAGTTTATAACATGCAGACGTCTTTTCCATTTGAGATTAAGAATTTTATGCGGCAAGTTTCTCGCGCAGTGCCATGCTGGATGTTCCAGCTGTTGCTCGCGCGTAAGCTTCTCGTTTAAAATATCTTAGGGCTCTCAACACTTTATCTTAAGTTTCGCGAACTCGAACCAATGCACTGCAAAGCAGTATGGAAAGTATCGCTCAGAGCAAGTGTAGGATCGCAAATTTCTTTTAGCCCTGTGTAACCTGCCTACTGTAGACCATGGTTGGAGGTTATTAAAGTGAAGGCATCAGTTAAGTATGTTGATTATAATGAGTTGGGCTAGGAACTCCGCAGTTACTTAGTTGGAAACTATGCAATTCCGTTATTTGCCTAGAGGCTTTCATATGACCAAAACAATTGTTTGCCTGGTCGAAAGGACTTCCTTCACGCGGTAGCAACTTTGGGTAGATAGTTTTCCCCGTAGTGTTGTCGTAAGTTTCAAGTATGTTGAGGTCCCAACGGGTTCATGCCACGCCTTTTCCCTGATCTGTGTCTGTGGGAAATCGCTTGCTGACATCTGGAACTCAGTTGGCACTTTATAGAACCTTCGCCTGGACACGGATTTTGTCGTAAAGGCTGTCACCCTCCAGCACTTCAATAAAAACATCTGACACATCCGTTTCCTGCACATGCAAATCAATGAAAGCCTACGCTTCGCAGTTCTAAAGTACCCGTTTTTCAAAAGGGGGTTCCTGCGGAGTGTCATGCTCGAGTTCAAATACACAGCGTGGATGCTCGCACGCGTATCGGCGTGCTCTCCACAGATGTGTCGTGTATGCCTCTTGCAGATCTAGATTGACACTTTTCCAGCACAATACAAGAGATGGTGGACAGCGCTGGTGCAAACGCACTGGGGTTATTGTGACCGTTAATCGCTTCACGGAATCGCCGGGGATGCTCACAGCATCGTACTCAAGCTCCGCGCTGCCTGTACTGTCTCTGGACAATCGAAGACTGAAGCTCTGCAATTAATTATTAATTAAATGCACAAGCAATTAGTTCGCAAGTTACTGCACTGGGCTCTCTTTTGAAGACGAAAGCTTCAGCATCTACCACAACAAATAATCTACCGTTCTCCTGATGGCCACGTTGGCACAAATAAGTTGCGCGGTTTCCCTACACTGCAGTTTCACTCATTATTGACTGTAGTCTAACCTTGTGGTTCGTAGATGGGTTGACGAGCAGTACGCTTTGCTGGATTGGCTTTCTAGTGGTGACCTTTAGTGCATAGTACATCGATGGGAAAATATCTTCAGAACCTTTCCAGCTAGGGTAGGAACGTTCGCACTGCCTACCACATGCTTGTATCTGCGAGGTTGAATCAGGGATCTGAACGAGTTCGTTTGGAGGGACAAGCTCAGGGGTCCTCATATTTGACGGTGTTTGACAATCTTCCGTCCGAAGTTGCTCGATATGTGGCTGTCCATGTTGGCATTCCTGTTGTTTCTCGCACGCATTTTTATCTTCACAATGCTCAAGAAGTTGGACACATTGCGTACAATCGGCTTGAGGGGCCGGAATCGCGTGCTGCTGGGTAGTTGCAAGCTTGGGAAGAGCGCATGGGGAGAGGTCACCACCGAGGGTCTCCTCACATTTCTTGCTCTTTGGAGAAAGATGTTGCAAGGAGCACTTAAGCTTCTCTCCAAATTTTTTAAGTGCCATTGTTGGTATACTGTGCAAGGCATATATTAACGAGAAGCAGAATCTAGGGAGGACTGCACAGGGCCAAGATACACAGGAATAGGGCGTGGTCAGTTGTTCAGAACAGCAAAGATCACCCATGAAACAGGTTTTTTGGATGCATGCATCTCAAATACGGTTTTTGGAAATGGTGCGTCAAAGTTTTTATCGTAGAAGACGGGGAAATGTGTCGCGTTTGTCCGACAAGAATTTGCACCCGTATGTTTCAGTAGACCCCCACGACCACTCGTGATCCAGGCAATCTGCGTTCAATAGTCATTCCAGCAAAGGCAAACTAATGAATAAATAGTAAACAGGAATCTCGTAAAATAAGTAGTCTATCCTGCTTCTACATATGGAAAGAAATTAAACTTGTTGCCGACCTAGCTTTGATGCTTCGAAATACAGCAATGTGCTTGCCTTGAAACACCTTCAATCGGTGAAAATCATGTCTGGAAGCTGTAATTGCGTATGCCCTTGTGCAGTCTTTATCTTCCGGATAGCATCAGGTGGTCAGTGTACTATTATTCTCCTGGATTAAAAAAATCAGGCGTATCCGAGTAGTGAAAGAGCACCGTTTCGCCGTGGTAGGGATACACTTATCTACACTAGGAAGCATTCGTAAGGATGCTCAGACGTTCACGTCCAACAGTATTGATGCATTGTGAAAGCCCTAGACGTTTTTGCCTGGCTCTAGCAGCTTCGGAGGCTCTGTTTATCATAATAAATCGATTTATTTGCTCCATTCATGGATCAAATACTCTGTCTGGGGGTTAGTCCCTGAGACGCCTGCTTGCCGACGACGCAGCCTAGGCGCTCTATGCATGATTGCAACGATCATCCGTCTGTATTATGTGTGGAGAACTGCGTTGACCGATATGGTTCGAACGCCCCTACAATTCTGCAAGACGCGCGCATCCTTTCGCACTCTTCCATCTCAGTAGGGTATAGATTGAAAAAAATGTCATTGACAGAATACTTTTCGGCAAGAAGAGACCCCATTTATATTCCAAAGCTTGTATTGAGCCCTTCTACCCATTGCACAACGCCAGCGTCATACCTTAGGTCTTAAAGGCCTCATTCGTGCCTACATGGCGGCGTTTCTGGCCCCTCCTTCCCTCTTCAATGGTTTTCTCCAAATGACACGCCCTGCGCAACAGCAGCGTAGCAAAGAGGCAGCAGCTGACTCTGGTAGGAAGAGAATCGCGAAGCTCTAGACAAACTTGACGGGAAGCAAAATTTTTTTGCGCAGGCTTCCTTTCCCACCGGCAAAGAGTCTGTACACTATCGACAGTTGCAAGGCCTCCTCCATCCTTAACCGGCTTTCTGTGATCCGCCTCCCATGCGCAACTCGGCGTGAGGCTGCATGCGAGCTTTCGAATTAGTGCAGGCCATGGGCGAAACTGCGAGCAAATTGGCAGCGCACCGCATGTACTGCGCTCACATGCCACTAGACATTTGTGGCAGACGACGTGCTCTTCGACACCGCCGAGCATGGATGGATGCTGAGGCGGATAGATCCAATGCAAAACTCCAGAGAACGGGCGTCTCCGATCGAGCGCTGCGCTGTAGTCGCATGCCAACGACAGCACTTACGCTGGGTGCACGACGGGTAACCTCTTCCTCTATCCTCCACTGTGGTTCTCCCGCTGCATGCATGACTTTGAGAGCCGTCAGCATCTCGCCGCAGTCTAGGCCACAGTGGCTGCATACCCCGTTGTCACATCTCTCCACCTAACGCATAAAACGAAACCTCGATTCTAGAATAATATGCAGCCTTCAGGCAGACAAAGCAGCATCGGGCCGAAGCGGTCAAATGCATCTGCCCTTGGAAAGCAACACAAAGAGTGGGCAAAAAAGATCCGCGTTGAAGACGTTGACTGCGAAGAAGATGCGACAAGCTACAGAAGCCTTCCCCACCTGGCGTCTCAAGGCTTGCCTACGTCTCCGCGCAGCATACGCGTCTGAGCAGCGCCCGCTGCATGTGAGGTCTTGCTCAGAACAGCGGATAAGCCAGCACTGCGTCTCATCATTGGCGAAGTTTTGGCGGCTTGTGACAACCTCCACGCTGCTCTGTGGTTTGCCGAATGCTTCTCCCCAATCCACATGTGCTGACAGATCAACTGTGAGCTGCGTCTGCGGCTCCGCTGTTTGACGCAAGGCGTTTGGAGCACCGCTCTGCAGTGTCTTGACGGCTAGCTGATCTGAAACTTTGATGCCCGCTGGCTTTGCTGACTCCGGTTGCAATGGGGGAATGCGACTTTCCTCCGTGTTCTCCACGATGCGCAAGTAAGTTCGCGAGGTGCTGACAGAGCAAATTGGCTTCATGCAAGATACACAAAGCACAGTCTGCCGTTCGCGGCAAAAAGGCTGCATGTGCTTAGGCGGTGCGGCAGGCAGCTGCGTTTTAACTCGTGGGTTGTCGAGGATCACGGGAATGAGGATGGAACGCGAGGGTTCGCGTGTATAAGGCCTGAAGGTGATTGCCTGCGTTTTTCGCCTTGCTTTCTCGTGCGAGGCAGAAGCTCCTTCGAGACTTCTCTTTGATGGCTGCGTATTCGACGGCGTGCTGAAGTATCGAGACGAAACTGCATTACTGCTCTGCGGTTCGTCTAGGGGGACTGACAGGCAGCTGGTGTCATGGTGACTCCCCCTGCTGTCTACTCTGCTCCATGAATCGAGCGAATCTAGAGAAGTACGCGCTGAGGAGGAGACTCGCTTCCCTTCATGACCACCAACCGTCTGCTGCTCGAGCCGCCACTGCTGCTGCGCTGTCTGCAGCAGCACCACTGGATCAGTCGTGTGGCGTGGCAGCAGCGGGCAAGGCGCATGCAATGGACGCTTTTCGGCTGCAACTTCTGAATCCAGGAAAGCAGGCAAGCTGCGGCTCAGCGGCACGCCATGGCCTCTGTATGAATTGCAAGACGAGAGTCTCGCGTCGTCGGAGACAGAAGAAATTTTTTTCTCGCCGTCTTGCTGCAGAGCCGCATAGCGGTATTTCACGAACTCCAGAAGCTCTTGCACCGTCAACGCAGCCTCACGCATTCGCCGCTGATCAAACGATGAAAGCAAGCCAAAGAGTCTCCTGTAGTGATACGCTGCATGCCGTGCATGCCAGAGCAGCAGACTGTCACAGGCCTTCATCTGCTGCATGTCTGTGTGGCGAGACGGCGCTTGCAACTTCTCAGGAAGCTCCTCCCCCTGCTGCTGCTGCTCCGGCAGCTGTGGAGGGGGTTGTTGTTGTATACAAAGTTCGCTGGCTGTGAAGGAGACACCCAGGGGAATTACTGGGTCGCTTTTGAACGCATGCACACGTTGCGTAAACCTTGAGACTCGAAAGCGAAATGCCTCCGAAACTGCTGGTGAGACAGTTTGCAGTAGAGCCACACATGGAGCCTGTTGATCCTGAAGCAGCGAATAACCTGGTGACGTTTCGTCCATCCCTTGTACGTCGGAAGTTGTTTTGTCTGCTTGGCGTGGGGGAGGGATTCTTGCGTGGAGGCTTGTCATCTCTTCGGCACGAATGGCTGTGCAACTCGTTGGCTGATGGATCTGCTCGAGTGTTTCCGTTGGGTGAGCATGTTGCTCCTGCCGCTCGGGAAGGGAGTTTGAGGCAGAAGTGAGGCTTGCTGGTGCGAAGGTGGATGCGGGGAGGTGCATGTCGTCAGAAGTCGCAGCGGCGGCTGGAACCGCATCGAGCTGCGAGGCAGCAGACAGCGGTCCGTCAAGTGTCTGTTGCACGAGCGCAGCTTGTTGCACGATGCGACACCACGCCGCCTCGTCTACAGCCTCTACCTCGCGCTGCAGGTGCAAGCAGCACTTCTTGACGGCATCTGCGAAGCTAAGTGGGGGAGCGCTGCCTCCCTGTGGCTCCAAGAAAGAGGCCTTGTCTCTTTTGATCCGCCTCGCTGCGCAGCCTCCACGTCCACCTGGTAGGGATGTAAGAAGTTCGCATGCGTCTCGCTTCGCACTTGCGCCAGCCTCTGCCTCCTCCTCTGGAAAGTCGCTAGCGCTGCTCCGCAAAGCGTTGGCACGCGTACAGTGAGAAGACTCTGAGCGAGGAGCAGCTGCTACTGAGGGCTTGCAACGGCCTACTAGGAAGTAGGTTGTTACAGTCCTTCCCTGCCCCCTGCGATGCAGTCGTGCCTCAGCCTGCAGTAGCTCGTGTTGCGGCGGGAGAAGCTCGAGGAAGATGCACACGGAAGCTCCAGAGAAGTCCAGCTGCGCGTGCAAAGAGCACACGCATGCACCCCAAGAGCGACAGACAGCGATGGAGGATGACGCAACACGTTCTCCCAGCGGTCGTGCCGCTGAAGGCTACTGGCAAAGTCGTGGCTTGTAGATACGCGCCACGAATACAAGCGCAGGAAGAAGGAGGGTAACTAGGAAGCTTCTTCGTCGTGTCAGGCGCAGGTAAGGCATGCAAACACCGAGTAGTAGTAGGCCCATGGCGAAAAGCTCGAGGCAAGAAGGAAAGGTAGGGCTTAAGATGCTGAGCGTCCACGCGTCTTACGCCATGGGAAGACGATGTGATGGATATAAGGGCCAAGAGACACCTTGGATCTGTCAAGAAAATACGACGCCGCCTCTGTCTTTCTTCTTCTGGAAGGCTGCCGTCGATGCGCACGAACCCCTGAGTTCGTCCGTGTTGTTCTCCTCGCAAGCCTCGCGCTCCGCCGGAGAGGCAACAACTCACTCTTAGCTCTCGCAGTCGAGCTCCTAAGGCGTCCATGACACGGCGGTGATGTGCAAACACGATGACCTTCGGGGGAGGGTCTGGAAAATATATTCAGAAAAAACCGCACTGATACGTCGTCGATTCGGGTGTATGTACACTGCCTGCGATAGGCCGCGCCATGAGAAGGGGCCCTTCGTTTTTGCTGCGGCTGCGCCGTTGTTACTTCTGCTCCTTCCAAAAAATCACGAGACGTTTTCTGCCGTGTACGATACGATTGGATGTTGTCTGCGAGGGACTGCAGAAAGCTTCTTCTACATCAAAATGCATACAGCGAAGGGTGTGCCGACAAAAACCAACCACCACACACGCGTCTAAGTATCCGCGTAGCTATCTATCGAGGCGGATGTGCGAATTTCGCCTTTAAAACCTCGACATATAGAAATTTCCAAGGCTTCAGGCTGCGGCCGCTTAGTCCTAGATGCGCTTTTTTCTTTTCCCCCTTTCCCCCCCCGCTTACCGGCTCCTTCTCCGTGCCAAGCGCTGTCTGTCACATCTCTGAAAAACTTCTCCTGAAGCCACTGAGCAGCCGCTGCGACCTTACACAGTCCTACTCGTTCTGCAGGCGTTGCTGGAGGACGACGTGTCACATCTCGTAAGGCAGCTGAAAGATCGCCAGCGGAAGAAAGGCCACTAGCTGCAGCGCATCACGCATACGACCAGGCGCAGGCTCTCTGCTGCTGCCGTGCTTCTGCGTAAAAGCCGACAAAATATGCAAATGAGCGCCCAACCCATCGAAGACTCATACGCCAGGCTGCCTACACAGCGAGCTCGCCTCGCGATGGGAGCAGCAGATCCAACAGGACGGTCGAGACAGACAGTCCAGCATCGGCATTCACAGGAGCTGTACCAGTAATGCCTTTGTCACTGCTGATCGAATTATCTTCCGATAGAAGCACACCGCCGGCAGCTGTCTTCAGCGTGTCGCTTCGCAGAGAACGGTATTCAGGCTTTTGCAGCACGAGGCCTTCTCCAATAGCCGTCAGCAGCTTGTTGTTGCAGTGGAATATCAGAAGCAGCTGGACTATCCGCATGCATCGCGGGAGCACCAGCGCGTCGCAATCTCCAGAGGCGTCGGCTGCCCACGGCAGTCCTTCTATGAGGCTTTCAGCGTCTCTCAGGGTTGCCTGAGGATCTCCCGTTGGAGGCATCGAGCCTAACGAGCAGGCGCTTCTTGAAGCGTCTTGGGGGGGAGGACGGAGAGATGTGGCAACAGCAGCAGGAGCAGTAGTAGCAGTAGCAGTAGTAGTAGCAGTAGTAGTAGCAGTAGTAGTAGTAGTAGTAGCAGTAGTAGTAGCAGTAGTAGCAGTAGTAATAGTAGTAGTAGCAGTAGCAGTAGTAGTAGTAGCAGTAGATGCCGGTGTATGGCCTCCGGCGATAGCGGCGACTGTAGAGACACCACAGACTTCACTGCCAGCCTCTGCATGCAGATCTGCCTCTAAGAGGAGGGGACTATTTCTGCCAGCTTCGCCGGCACCTTGAGAAGGCAAGGGGATAGTTGGGAAATCACGCAGCGTCTTTCGCCTTCGAATGAGCACTGCCCGTGTAAGGAGCAGATGCAACTCCCAACTGCGGGGAGAAGCCTCAAATCGACGTCTCGATCCAAAGGAGCGGGAGGAGCAGCAGTATTCTTCTGAGGCAATGCAGCGTGTAGGAGAAGCACACAGAAGGAGGGAGGCAATGCAGCGTGTAGGATAAAGACACAGAAGGAGGGAGGCAATGCAGCGTGTAGGAGAAAGACACAGGAGGAGGGAGGCAATGCAGCGTGTAGGAGGAAGCGTGAGCATCTGTATGCATGCCAGCGGCTGTCGTGGCAGCTGTCTGCACAGTCGGAAGGTGCCATAAAAGAAAGACTACAGCAGCAAAAAGCTGCGAAGAATGTTTCAAGGGTCTGTACTGTCGCCTGTGTGGCGAACCGTAGCCGTTCAGTTGCTTGAAAGCAGCACCCGCGAGATAACAGCAACTCCACAGTCAAAAAGCTTCGGCTGTCTGGCAGCAGACTCGCCTCTTACCAGCAAATTGGATGCGCTCGTCTCGCAGTATATTTCCGAAACGCTGCCATGTAGGCTCCCCAACGGTCCAGGGGGAGAAAGCCTTCTTCTCGCGATCTTGAGAAAAAAAAGTCGAGCAGCGAGCTGGATCCAAAGGATTGCCGTATGCCTCGTTCGCCTTTGCTGCTTTTGCTGCTGCTGCTTTCCACGCTGGAGTGGCTAAGGCTCCTGGCGAGGGAACTTCCCCGACACCGGGGGGAGGAGGATCGAGGTTCTTGAGGCTGTCGAGTGAGGAGTCTCTGCGTTGGAATCTCCTCGCTTCTGCTTCTGCCAAGGTTTCTAGCTCCCGCCACTGCTGCAGTTGTCGTGCGCGCACGGCGATTGCGTCTTGTTCATCGCGTGCAGGCAAAAGCGCCTCTACCAGTGGAAACAAATCTGCGGGAAGGCGCACAGAAGGGGTTCCTGAGAGGAGCAGCGCATGTCTGCTGCCCCTCACCAGATCCAGAATCTTGCGGTTAGCGTCTTGACTGCTTGTTGTTTGAGACAGCCTCCAACGCCTCTTCTCTTCGCCATGAACTCTACAGAGGTCTTGCCGTGTCGCATACTTCTCCAGTGGTGGCTGGGCTTGCACAAAACGGGTAGAATCGACACTGCTAAAATGCTCCTCAGCGCGTGTTGTACCAGCCACTCTTGCTGCCTCTTCTGCTGCGTTTTCTCCCTTCATCCCAGCCACTCTTGCTGCCTCTTCTGCTGCGTTTTCTGCCTTCATCCCAGCCACTCTTGCTGCTGCTGCTTCAGCACGCGCGTAGAATGACGGGTTCCGTGGAAAGGCAGATCCTCTCAGCTTGTGCGCTTCATCCACGACGACGAATTTGTACTGCGTAGCCTTCAGACTATCGTAGAGCCTGCCAGCCATTTCGAAGGAGGATAGACATATGCAGTGCTCCTCATCGGGAGCAGGACGATCTCCGCTGGCAAAAAGTACGCGAAGCTGAGGTGGTGCACTGTAATTCGCTAGCCACTCCTCCAAGGCATCTGCCCACACAAGCCGCATGGAGGCAGGAACCTGCGAAAGCGAAGCTCACAACAGCAGTGTCATCCATCCCACTAGAACTACCGCAGCCGCAGTGCAACAAAGCGCCCTCCCTCCCTCCCTCCGCAAAAGAAATCGTGTCTTCCCAGCAGCGCTCACGAGAGGCTCCCGCAAGTCGTATACACCCCGCGCATATGCGGACCAGTCTGCGCTGTGACAGTCAGTCAGTCCCCTCGCACATACGTGTACTCCGCAGCTTTCTCTTGTCGCCACGTCTACCCAAATGCAAAAATATCCAGAGAGAGAGCGACTCACGCATGCATGCACCGAGCCGCTGCTCCCTCCCCCACTGCGCAGAGAGAGCCCTCTCGAGAAAAGTACAACAACCCCACTCACTCCACCCCCCTACACCCATGATCCCATGTCGCAGGCGCACCACGATGAGACACGGGAACTGTCGATACAGCGCAATGCATGCAATAGCCTGCACCGTCTTGCCAAGCCCCATTTCATCTCCAATGAGTGCACGTCCTCCCCGCTGTACAGCAAACACGACACCTTCCCACTGAAAAGGCAGCAAGTGCTCCCGCAGCTTCGGAGGCAGCATCCACCACGCAACTCTTAAGGCGCGCTAACAAGCAGCACACGCAGCGGCAAACGCAATGCCATACACACGGCAACACAGGCAAAACCATCAAAGGCAGCTTTCGCAGCGTATATACGCTCTCCAAAGCACACGCTTTCCATGCACACAATTACGACATAAAATAACCCGCCTTTTCTATCTCTCTCTCTCCTTTTCTATCTCTCTCTCTCTCCTTTTCTTTTCTCTCTTCCTTTCTTTTCTATCTCCTTTTCTTTTCTATCTCCTTTTCTATCTCTCTCTCCTTTTCTCTCTCTCTCTCTCCTTTTCTTTTCTATCTCTCTCTCCTTTTCTCTCTCTCCCTCCTTTTCTCTCTCCCTCCTTTTCTTTTCTATCTCTCTCCCTTGCTCTCTTCCTCCCTCCTTTTCTCTCTCCCTCCTATTCTCTCTCTCCCTTTCTCCCTTTCTCCCTCTCTCCCTTTCTCCCTTTCTCCCTTTCTCCCTTCCTCCCTTGCTCCCTTGCTCTCTCTCCCCCTTTCTCCCTTCTTATCTCCCTCCCTTTCTCCTTTCTTATCTCCCTCCTTTTCTCTCTTTCCCTTTTCCCCACCTCCTTGGACGTAACGAGGAACTGTCCACTCCGGAGAGTGTCTCTGAAGAAGCGAAGCGTCAGTCCTGGAATTGGAATGAGGCGTGCCCAGCCGCAAACAGCAGCAGCTGCCTGCAGAATAATCGGATACGTATCCAGGGAGAAGACGCAGCCGTCAGTGTAGCGCAAGCCATCGGCAGGAGGCTTCAAAGCGCCACAAGTCCAGTCGACAAAGCGTAGGCGGTTCTTGCCCTCTGCCGCTTCATGAGGAACGACTCCAAGACGCAAACTTTCAGCCTTTGAGGGCGTCCCCTCTCCCGCCGATGCCGCATGGCCATTCAAGACACCCGCATTAGAGGAAAACTTTATTTGTTCCGATAAAACTTGGGGAGGAGTTGACTCTGAGGAAGGCCGTTCGCCTTCCTCCTCCCCCTTCCCCTTACGAGCATGATGCAGCACAGCGGCGCTGCTAAACTGCGACAGAAGCGTGGGATCTTTTCGAATGCAGTCGCTCCGCGGCAGCCAAGAGAGGGGTCTCAAAGCCTCGGGAATCGACGCGTCTGAAGCGCCATCCCACGTGCCTCCGTGATGCTGCTGCTGCTGCTGCTGCTGCTGCTGCGTGTACAGCCGAGCGGCGGTCTGAATGATACGAGGCAGCGCATGAGCAAGCAGTTCTCCAGTGGTGGCACAGCCTCCCGGATGGATTCTGAATGTGTGAGGGGTTTCGATCTCGAAGACAACGCACAGGCCGGAGTTTTTGTCTCCTGTACACGAGCGCCACCTCTGTACTTTTGAATCGCTGATTTTACCCTTGCACTGCGGGTATTCGGAGCATCCTAGAAAAACACCTGCATCAAGCAGTGGCAAAAACATTCACACCTCCAGACTCTGTACTGCACATGGCCGTGATAGGCGCAAAGCCTCCGAACTCAAAGCGCAAGCTGGAGGAAAGCTGCTCGAAACTACTACTCACCATACCGTCCGGAACGAAATTGCATGCCAAAGCGGTGGCAAAGAGGGCACTGGAAGGATGCGGCAACCTCTGCGCTGCTCAGATTTCGCCGCTGCTCAGCTGTAGCAAGCCACTCGAGAGACTCTCGAACCGACAGGCTTAGATCTGACTCCGATGGGAGGCCATCACCGATCTTGTCGTGGCTCTTGCCATCCGACTCAGGTGCAGCAGCGACTACTGGAGCGGTGGTAGGAGAAGTGCCACTTATCGACTTGCGTTTGTAGCTTGTGCGCTTGGGCATGCTGCTACTGTTGCGTCTTTTCCCGCATGGTACCCCCCTGCTGGTGCGAAACTCCCCAGCAGGACGGAAGCGGCTCGCAGCAGCCTCTGCAGATCCTGACTCCCTCCGCGTATTTCGTCCTACGGGGGTTGAGGGAGCGTCAAATGCGAAGGCGTTGAAGGTGTTTAACACATCAACGGGCAGGGAGCCCGTGTTGCTGGGGGAGGCTTCCATCTGCTCCTCTTCATGAATTCGGCAGGGAGGAGGCTGCGCGCGTTATTGCTGCACAGGATTCATGCTCGCTGCACCCTGTGCAGCAACAGCAGCAGCGGCAGCTGCTGCGCAGGAGGGGGGAGGAGGAGGAGAAGCGAGCTGTAGAGGTCCGCCATGAGTGGATTCATCGCATATGAAGGGGTGGCGTACCTCTGGGCATTTAGGACGCTTGAGTCATGTCTCCCGTACGAAATTCAAAGTCGAAACACTCTAAAGAGTAGTTCCGGCTGCCTAAAGGCGGTCGTATGCTAGATGGGAGGCCTACAGACTCTCATAGCACTGACCCTACACTCCTCTCCCGCTTTGTATTTCGTCGCAAGCACCAAGCCTCAAAGGTTTCGGCAGTTGGAGCTGCTGCTATGCTCGGGGGAAGCTCTGTAAGCGGCTGCAGCAGACACCCCAAAAATCACGCTGTCGCGAGCCAGGAGGCGATGCGCTTTCCCCCTTTTTTGAGAGCCTTCCAGTGAACAAACAAGCGGTTGTCCAACATAACCGAGATATTTTATATCGGGGAATGTGCATTTGTGAGATCGCCGAAGAAGACATCGGAACCTGAATCTGGCACGGCCAGGGGGCCCCCGGGGAGAGCATGGGGCCCACAGCAAAATAATAATGGACCCTACAGCGATTGCTTAACCCTCAAATTGAGTTTATTTCACGTCTTTAATGCCCCTTCGCCTCGGATTTGCTAGACAGGGGGCTTTCGCTATGTAGCATCAGACAGAGTTTGAGCGCCTGGCGTTGTACCACCTGGGGCGGTCTGGCAAACATCGGAGAGGTTAGCTCTTCGCTTTGAAAGCTTTGAAGTTCTGCATGCTCTGTCCATCATTCGCAAGCCTATTCACATGTGGCTTTCAGATAAAGCATGCTACCACATCGCATTCCGATTAATATTCCATACGACCTTTTGATCAAGGAGCACCCTGTATGTGCATTCAGATTCCGAGTTCAGTGCTGCGCACTGCGGCGAATTCTCTAGTCAGGGCAGAGCTTATCATCGCCTTCTCCGCTTGCGCCCATGCACTCGGTGAGTGACAGGCAGACTTCTCTACTGCAACGCTTCCTCTCCTAGGGTTGTACTTGCGGAGCACTTCAACCTTAAGCCCAACACACAGCGGAAGAGGAAACTAGTGAGCGGCCTTGCAGAAAGCTCCCTCTCCCGCTCCTTTTCGCCTGCACTATGTAAACGCCCCATCCAAGGTTTCCTTGGGGAGACACTTTACTCTGGAGTTGATACAGACTTGAAAGGAAGTTATTGACTGGTGGTTAAAGCAGCACTCTCCTTCCTCCGCCCTCGTCCCCAGAATCCCCCGAATCGCGGACATGCGGGGGTTCAAGAAGCTAGGAACCACGCCACTGCACCCTCCAAGCACTGAAAGCATTCCTGGCTGCTTGCCATAGCATCCAGCGAACGTGTACACAACATTGTGTCTTTTAGTACTAAGCTACCAGTATTCGCAATAACTAGGGTCTACGAGCACACACAGCTACCGTTCAGTTCTCCACTGATTCTCAGTCGATAAAGCTGCTGCAGTAAAACGTGTTAAACTCGCTGAATTGAACGGTCCTTCCATGAGGGAAGAGGCATTGCAAGCGTTCAAACACGTCGCCGCATGCTTTAACACTCTGAGCGCTCTTTTATGCCCAGAGACACATATCGCAAAACTTGGAGTGCACCGACAGATAACACTGTTCATTCCTATTTTATTGAACCTACTCTGGTAGGGAGCAAATAGCATTTACGAACAATTAACTAAGCTTCAATATATTACCAATATAGACAATACAAGTAGAGTAGTAGAAATAGCTCAGGCATAGTTTAATTTACTATACATTGTGCCATAATTGCTGAACATCGCCTTTCTCTGGACGTAACAAATGAAGAAGGGGCACCATTTCCCCCAGACTTTGAATGCGCTTGGAGATCTAATTCCCGTGTAAAAGTGGCTTTGGAACGATTAAGAAACATGAATACAATCAGGTGGTGAGACTATACAGTCGAAGTCGTTCGCAATGTCCCTTAACCGCATGATGTCCTTTGTCCAAAGAGTACGCAGTGTATGGTAGTCGTGTCTGGAACTGCACACCCCTAGTATTCGCAATTTTTCGCCTTGTAGATGACAAAGGCACTCGCCTTCCAGTTGCATTCTTCTGCAGAGTAGGCCTTCTGCGCAGCACAGTACGAGCAGAGAAAGTCATGTAGGAAGAACACGCTGGTATATTTCCGCAGGTTGCAGCAGTGGGACGAGCGAATTTCCCGTATCGCAGGATTGTGTGCGTCATTCGGTAGTATATAGCGCCTTGATAATTGCCTCGAGAGCCACGCGGCGAGAAGGAAATCCTTGGGGTTCGTAAGGCATTTCATTGCATCGGTGGCATTGCCGTGCAGCTATTGTGGACTCCTTTTGCTTTTTCAAGGAGCTCTCGTAAACTGATTGCTGGGGCACCAGTATGCCATGAGAACCGACTTTCTCTGCAGACCTGGTCTATGGCTACCCCGCCACACCACAAAGAAGCAGTGCAGCTGAGAAAGCAAGTACGCGAAGCTCCTAACCGTGGAGGTTGAGACATGACTTTCTGCGAGATTGTTTAGCACACAGAGGCTGTCTTCCTAGACGGAGAACCGCATGGAACCTCTGCTACAAACTTTCTAGCGCGGCGTCAGCTCAATACACGGCTTCCTCTTTTAGCACTGCGGAACTTCCGTGCACGATACTGGCTTTTGCTGCTGGCCCTCCTGGGGGGTTGCCTCTTCAGTGACTTCCTTCGGTACCTTTTTCTTTTCCTTGTCATGCCTCTCATGCTTCTCTTTGCTGTGCTTTTCCGACTTGTCCTTCCTTGCCACCTTTGTCAGATTGTGTGAACTTTCTTTCTTCTCAGCTTTTTCTAGAGGCGGGGGCACAGTTTCGCCCTTCTCCAGCTTTTTTGGGAGGGATTGAGTGTGAAGAGCCGGCACCTCAGGCTGTACCAAGGGCGCGACCGCAGGCTCATAGGACACGCGCACAGTTGATGGGTGTGGAGGAGCACAGGCTTTGGGTTTAGCTTTAAACTTAAGCACCACTGGCTTGGGTTGGTTTCTGGGGAGTTCCACGGGCTCTAGCTGCTTGCTGCTAAACAGTGTGCGTTCCCTATATTCTAGCTCGTATGCCTTCAGAGGCACTTTCGTCAACTCCACAGCTACATCGTACAGGCCGTACTCGTACCACCCGCATCCAGTAGATAGCCGGCGGGAACGCGAGTTTCGCGCAGGCGGATGCGAGTATAAGATACTTCCAGAGGCAGATGCCCTTCCACTAGGCCCAGCGGCAAGGCTCGCGTTTAAAAAATTACGCCCTTCAGCAGAACCCCCGTTAGCCCGCATTGGAAACAAAATATAGGCTGAACTGCAGGGCCTACGAACTCATGCTCTAATAGAAGGCTGAGGGGGAAAACTGACACCTGGGCTGCTTTCCCCGCGGGGTGCAACAGACATCTCATGCAACTATCTGAAGGAGTAAGGTTACCCCCAGTTGGCCCTGTCCAAGGTTTCGTGTCGTTGAAACAAATGTGTCAAGCTCGCTCATGAATCATCAAGACAAGACGAGCCAGCAGCAGGTACTCAAACTCTTCTGTCTCGACAGAGCTAATTCTGAGGTGGTATTCTGCGTAGATTCCGAATGCAGGGGCAAATAATGAGCACTGACGATTTCTTTGCTCGGTCAATTTCAACCCAGATAAGCTGTATCGGGCAAAATTCACTTCTGCACCACCTCCGCCTGGCCTCTGAGCGCTTCACCTCAGTACATCGCATCCAATTATATGGCAGACACCAATTTATATACAGGGCAGCACAATTATTCCCAAGAGCAACACTAGCAGTTTCCCTACGAATTGTGCAAAGACATACTTTCCATCAGTATGAACTGACGCGATGCATGCAACTTTTGGTTTTCTTGCAGCACACACAGAATTTCGAGTGCCCGATATTCGACCTCTTCGTTTGGTCATGGCTATGGAATTGACATGAACTGGTCTCGGTTTGGGGACTGTTGCCGCACCGACTTGCACAAGCCCCAAGTGCCGAAAGTAGCTTTAGAGAGCATGCGTCTTTAGTGTCTTTATAAGTCACTGACTAGCCCACGTTGTTCTTGCAAGTCGTTTCCTGAAACGCAAGATGATAGACTGTACCCATATCCCTTTCATTTACGCAGCTTTCACGCCCTAGCTGATCCGCCTCCCGAAACTGAGTCCTTCATCGACCCTCTCAATTTACTGCAGTAGCTGAGAAAGCGCTGTTTGCTGAGCCAACATGCAGCCTCCTTAAACGCTTTTTCGCGGATCTGAGCAGCAAAGAACATTTCTTTCAGGCTCTCAGGCCAGTTTTCTCCATTATTGTTGGCCCCGCGATCATCCCCCGCCTGCCACTTGCGTGGTGGATGTTTGTCTGCAGTGATCCGCCGTCCAGGCTGAGCCTTTCCTCAGCCTGCTGGTCACTTTTGACTTTAGAGTTTTGATCGCTCATTGAGCTGCTCCCGCGGCGAGGCCTGCCTTCCATCTACTTCCGTCTTACGACGCGGCTGTATGCAGGCTGTTGGGTGCATGCCGACGACAGCTGCCCCAGAGGTTGCTGACGCGCTTGCCGATCAGTCCTCTCAAGCTGTCTGTGGGGTTTCCTCTCCCTTACGAGCCGCAGAGAGCCAGCTGGCAGCAGCCGCATCATCGAGGGGCCCTTCTGTATTGGTGACAGTCGGCACTACTTCATTCGACGAACTCGTGCTTACCGCCAGTTCAGAACCTTTCTTACGCGTTCTTCGCCGTATAGACTGTGCTGCTCTCACCTTTCAGATCGGCAGGGGCCATAAGGTGCCCTTCGGCATATCCCCTGTGCATCCTGATCTCAGCACGAGAGGGGTGTTGGTAGACGTTCGTGGTATTCCCAGCGTGAAAGTCGTCCGTTATATAACCTGTCTCGCTGCCAGCATTTCTGCGTTTCACCTCGTCGTTTCGCACTGTGGGGCTGGCACTCTTCTTGAGGCCCTTAGGAAGCGCCTGAAGGTTGTTGCTTGCGTTAATCCTCTGCTCCTAAACAATCACCAAGCCGAGCTAGCGACACAGCTGGCAGCGGGAGAACACTGTGTGACGCTGCAGGATCTCTCCGAACTCCCTGCAAAAACTTTGGAGGCATGGCAGCGCCCGTTCGCAGTTTCAGCATTCCGCGCAGAGGCAGCACCAGGAGAGGCAAGGGAGCAGCGGGAGAAGTGCCTTCTGCCTCTACCGCCGCCTCGCAGGGGATTTTTCTCTAGGATTGTGTGCGAGGAGCTAGGACTAGACGCTGAATACAAGTCTCTCTCCTTAGGTGCTTTTTCAGAAGGTGACGAGGACGCGAGTGAGCAGCAGAGAGAGAAATAAAGAGAGAAATAAAGAGAGACAAAGAAAGGCAGAGAGAGACACACATATACAAAGAGAAAGAATTACGGGCATGCAAGAATCAGATCTGAGCCCCCAGATCCGCCTTTGCAATCCACTAGGCAGCGCGACGCGTTGCCTCTTGTTTGCTGCGGATGGACGCGTTCTGCTTGCGGGAGATGGAGGGGGATGTGCCTGCATGTTTGACTTAGCCTCACGGCGCCCTCTCTCTCTCTTGCTGCCGTCGGAGGGAGCATGCATCGCTGCTGCTCCCATAGGCCTTCCCTTCGGCTCAGAGAGATCCCCCTTTTTGAAATTGAAGGCTTCTAAGGGCGTGAGCTCGGTGCTGCACATCGAACCACTCCTCGGCAGCAGCGGGGAAAGCGACGGCAAAGTGCTTTTGCAGCAGAAAGACTCGCGCATCTCCCTTTTTGACATGGCCGCTCAGAAGTTCGCTGGTGCCTTCCGTACGGGCGCTTTCTCTTTCTGCAAGTGCAGCGCCCTCCTCGGAAAGAGCTCCGCAGCAGAGTCTGCAGAAGACATCGCCAGCAGTGTCGAACATGATGCCAGCGAGGGATCGAGCAACTCCAGCAGCGCCTTGCATGCGCTCCTTGGTGGGCAGTGTGTTGCAGCCCCCACCAGCGTACTTGAATCTGCTGGGCTTTTCGATCTTCGAGCGGCGCAGAACGCATCCGGTGAGCGGAGAGTGACGCCTCCATCCTTGGAGTTGCGGCTGCCTTCTGCGGAGATCAGACAGGCGTTCCCGGAGAGAGAAGACGCAACGAGCGCGGGAAGCCTACAAGGGCTTGCCTTTTCGACTTCTAGCTGCCCCCTGCTGCTCGCTGCGTACGAACTGCCATCCTTGGCGATGTGGGATCTACGGCAGCCTAAGACGCCTCTTGCCTTTGCTCCTCTCCCCCAGGCCGCATCTCCTCCCTCAGAACTCGAAGTTGTGAGGGGTAGCAGGGCTTGGATTGCATGCGTTGAGGGGGAGCTGCAGCTTCTTCGCATCGCCACGAAGAAGCTCCGTGCCACGCAGGCGGGCGAACTGCCGCCCGTCTCCACGGCTCAGGCGACCCAAAGCAGAACCAGCAACCCCACGTGTAGTTCGTTGAGTGCTGCTGAAGACTGCGGGGGAAGCGCGCGCAGCGGCGCAGTCACCGGCAATAAAACTGAAGGCAGGAAGACGTGTCTGGTACCGGTTGCTTCCGCGTGTATTTTCGCGCAGAAGTCCAACAGGGGGAGGCTTTTTGAGGCCCAGTCTTGCCAAGAGGCATTCATCGACTTCATGCAACTTGAAACTGGCGAGCTCCATATGACATCGCTAGCTGTGCGCTCCGACGGCCTAGTTGGTGCATGTGGCTGCTCCGACGGGAAAGTGCAATTGTACGAGGGGAAGGCGCTTAGGCCCCTGGGGGAGCTAACGGGGCATCACACGGCTGTCTCTGCCACGGCTTGGTGTCCTACCAACGGCGTTCTCGCCTCCGGGGATGGAGAGGGAGTTGTGCACCTCTGGGGTGTCTATCGAGACAGCTACCATCCCTTCAGGACTGCTTCGTGATACATCTGCAAATGCCGCGCGGACTGATGCTGCATTTGCGATAGATAGCCAGCCTAGAGGGCTCGCCCGACAGAACCGGGTAGATGTGTTCGTTTCTAGCTAGCGTAGGCAAGAGGCGCGTGCAGTCGTATTTCTGTGTTTGTAGCTATAGTTGAACTTGCGAACGATCACAAGGTCTGGGTGATCTAGAAAATAGTGTATATGCATATAATATATATTTTTATATTCAGTGGGAAGGGGCGTAATGAGGGATTGCGAGGCTAGGGACTAGCAGGGGGGGAATGTCGCCGGATTTGAACAGAGTGTTCACCGCTCTCCTTCATGAGGAAGGGCCGTTTATCGGCCTCTCTCAGCATTCCTTTACACCGCGTGCCTTCAACTACTCATGAGAAATTCCCACAAAAGGTCAAAGTCTGTTGGTGCCTTTCAAGGGTTAGATTCATTCCCCTTGTAGAAGGAGGACAACGCCCGCGGCACGGGGTGTAGATGCAAAAGATTATGGAAATATGGATCTCTGAAAACTGCTGGCAAGCGAATGCTGCTGCTGCTGCATTGTTATACGTATACACACGCCTATTCGTGCATTAAAATGTATGCCACGAAATACGAGAAACGAACCCCCACAAGTTAGTCACTCTGAGGCAAGCGTATGAAGGTATGAGATGGGGGCGGGCATATTGCGAACAAAGCCTTCGCACACATCGTGCGTCAGGCAGGACAAACAGGGGGGAGAGGGGGCAGGGAGGCAGACGGAGTTCAATGCGCAGTACAACCCCACCCAAACCGCCACACTTTACGGTTGGTATTCGTCCCATGCTCGGACTTCCCAGAAGCGCTTGCCCTCGCGCTCCCTCGCGATTTTCCTGGAGATGCTTTCCACAAAGAAAGCCGCCACTTTGAGATCCGTCATGAGGGGAACTGCGGGAAGACAGCGCATCCCACAGCACATCTATCGGCAATTCTGCAGCGCTGTTACCTTTGCAGCCTTTGCACAGCAGCGGAGGCGTTTTCCCTCGGACTATCCTAAAGAGCCTCCTAATGTCTACCGGAAGAAGAAGCATTCCACATGCATGCGACTCCCGTTTAACCATCCCGAGCGCACACAGGGAAGAAGCACGAGCCGTCCCTCCTCACCTCCTGCATCGATTGCAGCCCTCCGGATTAGGTATCCTGTAGTAATGGCTTCGGTACTTGTCCTGCCTGGGGTATTTATCACCAGTTCGACCATGCCTGCGCATGCACACAAGCCGTCAGAACTGAGCGAGACGCTGAGAAAACACTCTACTAAAAACAGCTGCTACGCGTAAGGCGGCCCTCACTGCCCACTTTTACCCCGTAGGTTTGCTTGCTGTGCATCAAAAAACGGCAGGCAAAGCACTTGCAAATGAGCGATTCCTCGCATACCTCCCGCAATGATGGATTTTGCACTCTGACGATCCGAGCCGCTCGGTGTTTCCTCCTTGCTGACGGGGATAAGCTGCTTATCCAGATCAAAGGAAGGCGCCAGTCCAGTCGCACAGGCTGCAGCACCGCCTTTCCCGTCCTCAACTCTCGAGGGTAAATACCCCCAAGGTTCGTCAGCCTCGAAGTCTTCCCCAACGACACAGGCTGGGCCGCTGTCTGCATCCTGAGCTCCCTTGTGGAGGAACTCGTATGTGCCTGAGAGCATGCCATCGGCAACACCCCATGTGAGAAATCAACGCACACAAAGGAAACAGGAAAGATGGAACAGACAGAAGATAAACGACTCCCTAAAAAAGAAACCAGCATGCGCAACAAGGGGCCACAACATACAACTCTCATAAGCACATATATCATATATATAGGTATACATAGAAACATATATGTATGTACATATATACATAGACATATATATATATATATATATATATATATATATATAAAACCCCCACACATATATACATGGAAACATATATATATATATATATCACCTCCGCGCACGCAGCATCAGCTAAATAGGTTTGTAATGGACGGCCAAGCGAGAAATACACTCAATTCGACGAAGGAGCTTCTTGTATTCTCACGAGATTCCCCCACTGTAGCATGCGTGTTCAGATGCTATCTGCACTCAGCAGCTGCTTCCAACTGTTGAGCAGCAGCCGAACCAGATATTCTGGCAGAAGAGACAGACAGCCCAATCAAACAGCTCCCTTGCGCAGGCATGTTTTACCGCAGCAACGCAAGCACAAAAAATTACCTTCCGTGGCGTATATGGTGAAGCCCAGTTTCATCAGCTTGATGGCGAATGGGAAAAACTCGACTTTTGACCACAAAGGCCCTGCAGGCAACGCAACAACAAGGAGGGTGGTATTCGTCTGAAGGCGCAACAACAGCGAGAAATCCCTGACCTCCTCCCCCCTTTCCCTAAGCTTCTCGACACATACACACATACGTACATATATACGCACAAACATATATATATACACATACACACAGATACAGATACTTATATACATGTATATACACATATACACACGTACAAATACTTACATACATGTATATACACACATACATTCACAAAGATACATGTATACTTACATACATACACACATATTGGATATATAACGCTGGGCAGACGTCTCTGATATAAAGGACTTTTTGAGCAGCTGCGAGCCGCTTCTCGAAAAGACCGAATCAAAGCCGACGCTGCTATTAGTGCGAAGTGCTAGAAAATACGGAAACATATATGTATATATATCCATACATATATATATATATACATTAACAGCGAAGGCAGACCTCTCTGGAGGCTAACCTGTAACAAGTAGGATTGAACGTTTTTTCAGAGGCAATCGCAAGCCAGTCGACACCAACGCCTTAAGGAATGCTTCGTGTTTGTCCGTTCCGAAGCATGCAACCTGGGCGCACATAAGCCGCAAGCATCCTAGACACTAATTGTAGGCCCCCTCGAAGCAGCAGGGGTGATGAAAAGCGACAGGTTCCTCGCAGCAAAATCAACTTTTGAACCGCTGGAGCTGCCACTGCTAGCCTGAGAAATTCCCCCCCCGCCTCTACTGACCTCTCCAGTGCTGCGCATTTCTACTCCGAGCAGAGGATCGCAGCCTCGGAGTCTGTTGAAGGAGAAGACAGGGGCCTTTACACAGACGAATTCCAAATCCATGAGATGAATCGACTCGGCTGATACGGGAGCACCCACCATGACTCTGCAAACAGCAGCGGAGCAGCCACATGCGCTGGTCAAGACTCCTGTTCATACTCTACCCGACCGCTGACAACAGGCATTCCCTCCTTGCCGCTCACGTTCTTGCTGCAATGCAGCGAGCAAGCAATGAGCGATTCGACAGCAGCTCTCTTCTTTTATCAGCCTTTCAGCGAGCAAGCAATGAGAGATTCGACGGCAGCTCTCTTCTTTTATCAGCCTTTCAGCAAGCCAGCAATGAGAGGTTCGAGAGCAGCTCTCTTTTTTTATCAGCCTTTCAGCAAGCCAGCAATGAGAGATTCGACAGCAGCTCTCTTCTTTTATAAGCCTTTCAGCGAGCAAGCAATGAGAGATTCGACAGCAGCTCTCTTCTTTTATCAGCCTTTCAGCGAGCAAGCAATGAGAGATTCGACAGCAGCTCTCTTCTTTTATCAGCCTTTCAGCGAGCAGGCAATGAGCGATTCGACAGCAGCTCTCTTCTTTTATCAGCCTTTCAGCGAGCAAGCAATGAGAGATTCGACAGCAGCTCTCTTTTTTTATCAGCCTTTTCGACAGCAGCTCTCTTCTTTTATCAGCCTTTCAGCGAGCAACCAATGAGATTAAAGAGCAGCTCTCTTTTTTATCAGCCTTTCAGCGAGCAAACAATGAGAGATTCGACAGCAGCTCTCTTTTTTGGGTGACCAACCTCCCCAGAAACCGAGGCAAGAAAAAACAATCGAGCCTGAAAACTGCGCTCGTGCTTCATACTAAAGACACTCACTTGGTTGCCTGCTCAATGAAGTCTACTCCGAAGCACTTGCTGATGAACGGGAAGGTGCGAGACGCGCGAAGGTTGCATTCAATGATTTTTACTTCGTTATTCTTGCAGATAAATTGAATGTTGAAGGGCCCTATGATGCACACCACGCAGAGACGACCACTGACACAGCCCCAAGACTTGCACCATGTCTCCTTGAAATGGAATATGCATTTATATATATATTTATATATATTTATTTATAATTATATTTACACAAGTTCACATCTTATATGGTGGACAAAGCCTGTTTCTTTCGTGTCTTTGTCCCCCCTCCCTCTTCCTCCCCCGTCGCCTCCCTTCCTTGCAACTGCCTTCCCAGCAAGCTCCACCACAAGCCCTACAGCGAAACGGAGTGCGGTTCGCTCTGCTGCCCCTGCCCTTTGCATGCATGCATGCAAAGCGCAGCACGTACCAGACACGTTAAGCGCCCGTGCGAGCTTCTGTGCGATCTTCTTCACCCGTCTGCAGCGGCAAGGAAAGTCAAAGTCTCATGAGGCACAAGATGCCGCCGAGCCTCTGGACAGCAAACCCCTAGACTCCACTGAGAAATAAAGTACCTGATTGTTTCCACGTAGAGCTTTTGAGCAGGAAGAATCAGAGTGGCGTCCCCTGAGTGCGTTCCTGCGTAGCATGCGACAGTTGAATACAACGCCTAGGAGCTCTCATGAGCAGCTGAACAGTCACATGGCTCTCGATGCAGTTAAAAAGAGCGCACGTGCTCCATGAACGATAGTAGGCAGACACGAAGCACAGCCCCCACATTGCGCCGTAGTTTCCATAAACATCCTTACCCGCATTTTCAACATGCTCGCTAATGGCGTAGTTGAGGATTTCTCCGCGACTAGCGACGCTGTCAAACTCCACCTGCGGAAACAGCGGTCGTCGTCATCGTACAAAGGCAGCAATCTCCACAGCCTTCAATACATGCATTACGGAAGCGAATCGCACATAGGCCAGACGCTCTAACAGATGCGTGGAGTCTGCGCAACTCTCGGCTTTAAAGGGCTGCCAGTGCCACCCTCGAGGCATCCGCAGACACTTGCACGCCATCCTCTCTCTCCTTTACCTTCTCCCTAGGTCTCTCCTTAACCCTGCTTCCATGTCTCTCCTTAACCCTGCTTCCATGTCTCTCCTTAACCCCTGCCTTTTGTAGCATTATATCTATGCATGCGCGGCTTTAACAGCAGCGGACGCGCTGCCAAGAAACGAGCATGCATCGGGCAGTCAACAGATCGGCATGCAAATTCCCACCTCCTTAGCATTACTGACGAACTTTGAGATCACAACAGGGCTGTCTCCCGAAACCACTGCAGCCACCTAATCGAAGCACAGAAAGACACAGAGAGAAAAAGACAGACAGAGAAAGATAGAAATAAAGACAGCTCTATCTATCTACGTCTACCTGTCTGTCTGCACTTCTTCATCGAAGACGTCTGCACAGCAATTGGATGTAGTACAACTGAAAATCCCACCATGCCAGGAGGAAATCAGTGCACTCACCTGCAAAAACTCCCGCAGCTGCTCATCATTCGTAACAACGCGCATAGCAGCGCCACTCAGGACGTAAGAAGGCCGCACCAACACTGGAAATCCGACCTGACAGCAGGAGCAAAAATGCACAAAAGAGACACCTGTACATACACTTCAGAGAGGGGCAGCACGATTGGGCAGCCTGCGAGCGAGACGCCATGAAGGACGGAGAATGCACTGCATACAGCCTCTCGAATAAAGGCATCCAACTACCTGCGCAGCTTTTATCAATGGAAAAAATTTTCCACTGCATGGGAAAGAAAAGCCAACGCACCTTGTTGCTGAATTCCTGGGCAGCATCGAAACTCGTAAACTCACTCCAGGCTGGCTGGTCAAGGCGCAGCTCGTCACAGAGCTTGCTGAACTTGTGCCTGTCTTCGCAACAGTCAATGGAGCTGACGCTTGTGCCTGGGACAGGTATGCATGATACATGAAGACGCATATTTTTTCTTCTCAACATATGCCTAAATCGCTTTCACCTAAAGCTACGCTATACTACGACTGCAGACCGATCAAGCGGCACGCAGGGGGTGCACGCGTTTCTGAGGCGGGAAAAGGCTTTCCGTGCATAAATATATATAAATATGAACGCATATGCATATATCAATGCACATGCGTTCATAGAGTACTTATAAATGCGTGTGCATGCATACAGAGAGACAGGTCCACAGACGCTAGTCCAGGTGTACACGCAGCTAGCTATGGCCGCCTCTTCTACTAAAAAAAACATGAGAAATAACCCTTACCCATGATCCCAACACCACGATTCTCCAGCGCATTGCACAGATTGTTAGGAGTCTGTCCTCCGACGGAAATAATCACACCCTCAGGCTGCTCGATCTGCCTGCAGCCAGATGTCGCATTTGTACGGCGAATAGGAAACTCTGCATGATGCTTCGTCAATAAAGTGAAGTAAACCAATCAGTTTATATATGTATATTTTACCTGCTTGGGTCTGAATTCACAAACACTGTCTACTCTAGCAGGTAGACTGGGTTTCAACTAATCGTCTCTTGTAATTTTGGAAGCAACCATCAAGCCTTGTCGCTATTTGCAGCACGTCTTCATGAGACAGCCGCAAGGAAGAAGCATCGTTTGAAGAGAGAGAGAGATAGAGATAGAGAGAGAGAGACAGACAGACAGACAGAGAGAGAGACAGACAGACAGACAGACAGACAGACAGAGAGACAGAGATAGCACGCACAGCAGCAATCCGGCATAAGCCCCTAAAGCCCGCACTCACCAGATGTTCGACACTGTCTCTAACGTAAGGTCCTCGAAGTATAGTCTGTCGCTAACATCGTAGTCGGTAGAAACCGTCTCGGGATTACAATTTACCTTCACAGGCAACCCACATAAAGCCGCAGCCAGCAGCTAAAGGATGCGCTTCCCAGGTGCCTCCTGCATCCCCCCTATGGCGAATTTTCGTCGAACTTCCCCATCTGCAGCAGCCTCTATCTATTTCTCTATCTATCGATGTATCTATCGATATATATCTGTCCTTCTCTCGCAGCGTCTCGCTGCACATGAGATACTTCTTGAACTCGAGTCCTCTCTACACGTCCACTGTCTGCTCCCCGCTCCATGTCTGAGTGTTTTCATGCCTCGAGCCTGCTGTATCTCTTTCCCCCCTTCAACACTTACCACGATGGCTCTATGGCCAAGTGTGCGGAGAGTAGAGATGCAGGAGACAGCTGACCAGTCGAACTCAACGCTGCTACCAATGCAGTAACAGCCGCAACCTGCAGCGGGGAAGCCAGCAACATTTACACACAGACAATACACACATACAATACAATACACACATAGATACACAATCAGAGACAACACACACATGCACATACACAGACAATGCACAAAAAATACATACCGACACATACACATACACAAAGAAATACACAGAGACAATACACACATACACATACACAAAGAAATACACAGAGACAATACACACATACACATACACAAAGAAATACACAGAGACGATACACACATACACATACACAAAAATTACACACCGACACATGCACACACACAGACAATACACACACAGAGACAATACACATACACACTGCACAAAAACTACACACAGACACATACAATACAATACACACATAAATACACACACAGAGACAATACACACAGACAATACACAAAAAGATACACAGACACACAATACAGACAATACCCCTTCCACACCAGGGATACGTCAGTGCGGGAAAAGCGCAGCCTGCAACTTGGAAATGTCATCGTGCATGCAGGGCATGTAATATTCAGCAACGCTGCGGCAATCCTTGCCACTCCCTCCTGCTGCTGCAGCTGCAGCAGCAGCTTGCGTGTATCGCCGCTTTGTCAGAAAGCGAAGCCTTCCTCGAAATGCCGCGCAACACGCGCTACTTCCCGCCTGATTGCGATCTAACGACCTCGCTGCCTCTCAAAGTGCCAGCTTACCGAGCACTACATAGCAGCCAGACGCAGGGGTGTCTTCTGCACACGATGTCTGATGACTCCGAGAGCTGTACAGACGGCTGAGGATGGAGCCAGGCTCAGGCTCCATGAGCGGTGAGGGAGCTACTCCCCCCGCAGTCGGAGATAACACGCCTTTTGAACTTCCCTGCTTCTGCCTATACATTGGACTTGCTGCACGCCAGGCAGCAGCAGCACACACAAACAAACCCCTTCTCGCCGGAAAAAGCTTCGCCTCTCCACATACAAATGTACAAACATACATGCATATATAGATATATTTATTACAGTTATATATGCGTGTATATATACATACATCCAGAACACAATTTACACGCATTCAAGGGCAGCCACTGAAAAAAGATGCCCTTTACGTGAGACATGCAGCAGCCTCAAGTCCAATCCTGCACCGTCCCTGCAGAAAGAAGGAGACTGGCTCGCTGCCGTGCACCTTCTTTGGAATTTGGCTAGCCGCTGCTGCCGCTGCTGCTGGTTGCTTCCCGCCCCCTCAACGTCAGTCCTTCCCTTCTACACTCTGCTTGCCGTCGCGCTCCAAGCCGAGCTTTGTGTGAGCAGCAGTGCAACTCTACGTCTACTCAGCGAGCAGCTCCCAGAGGGGATGCCTTTGCTGAAAATTCTCAGAGGGAGGACTGACTGACATGCAGGGAGATCCGTGCTGCATAGCGGATGCACGTCGCTCTCAGTGCCAAGATACGTCAAGTAGAGGTAGTTCGTCTGCGCTGGAAATTCTGCTGCAAGAGTGTCGATTTGCTTCACGAAAGGCAGAACGCCTAAGGCCCTTCTATAGCTCCACACATCCTCCTCCGTGACTTGCAGTGTCTGCAGCGAGCCTTGAGAGGTATACGCTGCAATCTGCCGATCGCTGAATCCTGAGAGGACGAAGCACGCGCGCACTTGGAGCTGCTAAAGGCTGCGTGTAGAGGAACCGACGTCGAGAGATCGGTGAGGAGACAGCGGGCAGTCGAACGGAAGCACACCCGCGATTCGTAGCCTCAAACACGCAGCACATGCGCAGCTGACACTTCGATCGCCAACTCCCCTGCTGCCGCATCGCTAGAGCAAAAATGATGCGTCGTGGATGCAATACGAAAAAGAAACGCCAGCGGCTCGCCAACGAACCCACCGTATTTCTTGACAAAGATGAGATCGCGCTTGGTTAGCTGCGCAAGCGACTTGGTGGCAAGCCCTTCTTTGATATCCTGGATGTGCTTCAGCTTCGAGAGGAACCAAGGATCGATCCGTGTCAAAGCGTGGAGCTTCTCGACATCGTACCCCTGACGCAAAGCCTCTGCCAAAGCCCATATGCTGCACCCCACAGGCGCATGCATGCATATTGAGGGGGAGGTTCTCTCTTGCATGCCGCCTTCTCACAACGCTGGCAAAAGGCGAGATCAGCAGCAGCAGCAGACACTCAGAAAAAGCGGAACAAAACAAGAAGAAAGCATGCAAGAGAGCAAGACGCCTACCGTGCAGCGGAAGGCTGTGACAACTCTCGCTCCAAGCGTTCTCTCGCGGCAGCGAAATCTTCTCCAGTCTGCATACAAGAAAACAGTTTGCTAGAAGCAGTTAGGGGATCCTCAACAAGGCTGACATGCGTGTCAGCAAACAACATGCGCGAAAATGCCACTATGCCACGGAGAGCCTCGCAAAAATTGAATAAAAAGCAACTGTTCTCCCTTGTACACAGAGCAATCAATCTTCTAAACAAGCTAGATTTCGCCAGAAGCACGACGGTACATGTGTCTTGCGACAACAAGTCTGTCTGTCTGTCTGTTTGTCTGTGTGTTTGTCTGTCTCCTGGTGCCGACTAGCCTTATGATGCTGAAGACAGCAGCCTCCTGCTGCAATGCAAGCGTCCCCAAGGCATTCATGCACACACACCTTTGGAGTTAGTTGGGGGCACATCGTTTCGTCAAAGCCGTTCGCGTCTCCCGTTACCATTCTGAGAATTTCCGCAAGTCGACACAGTACAAAAACGCATCCAAAAAGCTGCGTATCGCACCAACGCGTTGGCGCCGTAGCGATACGCGAATACAAGAAAACATGCCTGAGAGCAGCTGCTTATTGAGACACCTCAAAACTGTCCCTTCAGAGAGAGAAAGAGATAGAGAGAGAAAGAGCAAGAGAGAGAAAGAGCAAGAGAGAGAGAGAAAGAGACAGATAGATAGATAGAGACGCGAGCTGACTGCTTCCCCTGTATATTTGCGGTCGCTTTCTCCTACCAGGGGTTGCATGCGCTACAAAATAAAGACTGCCTGCCAAAAAGTGCGACTTTTTCGAGTTGTCTTCTGTCAATACAAGCGGCACTGTAGGGCAGGAGTGGGGGTGCTCTAGAAGAGAGTTTCGGTGTCTCACCGCAAGGCTTTTTGCAGCGACTCCTCGAAAGTTCTCCCTGCTGCCATGACTTCTCCAACGCTCTTCATAGCCGACCCCATGAAAGGATCTGCCTCGTCGAATTTCTTCATATCCCATCTGCATGCAGCAGCACCAAATAATTCAGCGATATGCTCGTTGCCGCAGAAACGCATGGATTACGTGCATACCCCCTAAAATCGTGTAGGCAAAACAGCGCTGTGGTTCCGCCGTCCCTAGAATATATGTACATATATAAACACATATACATAGAGAGAGATATATATATGTATGCATCATACATACATATATATCTCTATAAATATATGTGTATCTCTGTACATATTGATATATATATATCTCTATCTATAAAACTGTGTGCTTCCATGCTTCCGCAGCGGTTTTTTCCTTTTGCGCGTTCATCTGCCGAGTTTGTATTTTGTTTTGACCGTATTGAAAGAGCGAGGCATGTCTCTACGAGCACTGTTGTTTCCCCCCTCCCTCTCCGTGCTCCCTCTCTCCGTCTGCCAACCTTGGAACCTTAGTGACGACATAATCAAAGGCTGGCTCGAAGCAGGCAGTAGTTTCCTTGGTGACTTCGTTGCAGAGCTGCAACAAGTCATGACCTGGTGAGCAGTTTCGCAGAGCATGCATCACAACAAGTTTCTGAGGATGTGAGCACCCGGGTGGAACCTCTGCACCCACAAGAAGCGGCGAAAGTACGCTGAAAAACGCGTTTTTCTGCACGTGGCGGGAAAGACACATTCTCTTGTGCGAGTGGTGCATCGTGGTCACGAAAAAACACAAAACGTAGCGGAGCTTCAGACTCCGCCTCACCCAATGCCAGCTTCGCGGCAATGTATGCGAGAGGATAGCCGGAAGCCTTCGATGCCAGAGCGCTGCTCCTCGAGAGGCGAGCATTCACCTGCATGTGTGCGTAAAAAATTAAAAAAGAAAGCCGACATGTCGTACAGTGCACAATATATATATATATATATATTTATATAGTTATTGCAGGCAGCCAAGAATATGTGCCTTCTGAGATACGCGAAAATTTGGAAAAAAAGCATTTCTAAGAAAACAGAACTGGGCAGCAACAAGCATTCGTGGCATCGCAATAACGCACTGGCGCGATACGCCCATGCTGCAGCAGCAACCTCCCAGCCCATTAAAAAAATATATACATATATATATACACATATATGCATCTCTGCATATTACAGCGCTGCTGCCAATCCTTAGCTTCCAGCCCTCACCTCCACGATGTAATAGAGATCTGAGTGAGGATCAAGTGCATACTGAATGTTGCACTCCCCGACTATGCCTAAATGCCGGATGATCTTCAAGGCACACTCCCTCAGGCGGTAGTACTCCTCATTGCTGAGAGTCTGTGGAGCAGAGAAAAAGGAAAAATTACTTCTTAGCGCGGGAAAATCGGAAAGCCGAGTCGAAAACCATGGAAAAAAGCGAGAGAGCAAGAGACATAGACAGACAGACAGAGAGATAGCGAGAGTGAGACAGAGACATGTTCAGAGAGAGAGAGTGAGAAAGAGAGCGACGGAGATAGTGAGAGAGAGACAGAGACGTGTATATATAGAGAGAGTGAGAAAGAGATAGACAGAGATAGTGAGAGACATAGATAGATACATATCTAGATATATACATAGTGGTAGACAGAGATAGTGAGAGGCAGACGCAGACAGAGATAGACAGACGTGAGGCTCATCCCCAGCAGGCTTGCACGTTGATTAGCCGGAAGCGATAATTGTCGTGCCCCCTTCGTAGACATGTTGAGGATGTATCGATTGTTGTCGTGGTTGCAGTGCAGAAGACGCAAAGCAGTAGGAGCCTACCTGAGATGGTGCAACTACGATGGAGTCTCCCGTGTGTATACCTGTATGCATGCAGCCACCAGGTTCAGAAAGCAACGCGCAAAAACTCTAGTCAGTCTAGATGCATTCGAATAGCTTTTTTCTGCCGCTTTCTGCATGCCCCTACGGTATATGCAGGTAGCTAGCAAGCAAGCCTTCCCCCCTCACACGAATGCTATTTGACGCAATTTCCTGACGTTTTTTTCGCAGGTTCGCTCGAGCGTTTCCAGCGTGAAAGTCAGTTTCCTTCGGCTAAAGCGGCAGCGCCGTGTGCGTGCATGCATGGTCTTCGACACGTAATGCAGCATCAGGCAGCCAGCTTCTTCCCTGCTGCTTGCAGCAGCCGTCGTAAAGACACGTACCAAGGGGGTCGAGGTTCTCCATATTGCAGACAGCCACGCAGTTATCCTTCGCGTCTCGAACGATTTCATACTCAACTTCCTTCCATCCCTTCAGACTTCGATCCACGAAGACCTAAGAACAAAAGATCTCCGTCACTCATTACAAGCGCTGAATTCATGAAGCTCTCTACGTGGATGCATGCATATACATACACACATAGGTGCGTACATGTACAGGCGGCTGTCAAACGCTGAATTCCGAGGGCATAAAAATACGCGTTGCTGCACAAAACCCTTCCCCTCTGCTCAGCAGTGCTAAAACAGGTTGTACATACATATAAGTGTCTATATAAATATACATTTATACATATCAACGGCGGCAAAAGCATGGCTTGCCCTTCAGCTCACTGCACACCTCTCCAGACAGTAGCCACCCGTCACTGTAACTATACCTCACTTGGGAAGAATGCGCGAAGGCATCAGCACAGACACGACGCAATGATGCTTCATCTTCGGCAAAGCCTGAGCCAAGTCCGCCTGCGTTTGTGTGTTGTACACCATCAAAACACACACACACATACGCATATATGTATATATATATGCATATACATAGACATAAGAATACATAAACACATGCGAACGCATATATATATATATATATATATATATATATATATATATATATATACGTACATATACACATTCATGCATCTATACACCTCCACGTACGTACATCTATACACATTCATGCATCTATAAATCTATACACCTCCACGTACGTACATCTATACACATTCATGCATCTATAAATCTATACACCTCCACATTCATACATCTATACACATTCATGCATCTATACACATTCATACATCAATCAATCTATACAGCTCCACATTCATACATCTATACACATTCATACATCTATAAATCTATAGAGCTCCACATTCATACATCTATACACATTCATGCATCTATAAATCTATACAGCTCCACATTCATACATCTATACACATTCATACATCAATCAATCTATACAGCTCCACATTCAAACATCTATACACATTCATACATCTATAAATCTATACAGCTCCACATTCAAACATCTATACACAGCTCCACATTCATACATCTATACAGCTCCACATTCATACATCTATACAGCTCCACATTCATACATCTATACACATTTATACATCTATAAATCTATACAGCTCCACATTCAAACATCTATACACATTCATACATCTATAAATCTATACAGCTCCACATTCAAACATCTACACTACACCCACAAACCTATAGAGAAGCCTTAATGTTCAGCGTCTGCAGTTGCAATCTGCGTCGCACGCTTCTGTCTCTAAACACCCCGGCTGTCTGCCTTGTTCGAAGAGAATTGATTCTCCTCAGTAGGTCAGCAAGGAGCATGCGCTTTGGCAGTGTGTCAAGAAAGCGCAAGAGAGAAGTATTACCCAGAGCGAAGGCTGCGCGAATGAGGACGGGATATCCGATGCGAGCAGCAACTGCAACAGCCTCTTCGACGTTCGTCGCTGCTGCCGAGGGTGCTACCTGCTCTCCTATCTCCATGAGCTTTTGCGCGAAGATCTCTCTGTCCTCTGTTGAAATAATAGCCTGCATCACACTCCTCCCCAGCGCAGAAGCACAGAAGTGCCAATGGAGTGCAGCTAGCTATACAGGCAGACTGCAGCTCCTAGAGGTGTCTACGCAGACTGCAGCTCCTAGAGGTGTCTACGCAGACTGCAGCTCCTAGAGGTGTCTACGCAGACTGCAGCTCCTAGAGGTGTCTACGCAGACTGCCGCGTAGAAAGCTTGGCGTGGCTCCTAGCGTTCATTCGACACTGAAGCGTCTGCTTAAGAATTTGAAGAGAGACCTCAAAAGACACCCCAATGCGAGTGCAAGAAACGAGGCACCAGCGACACACTGCTACCGTCGAAAAAAGCGCACTAGCCATCCTTTTTCGTTTCATTTTTCCAGATGCGCAAGTCTCCCGAACGCGACATCCATGCTCACCTCAATCGGGGTGCCAAGAACCTGGCAGTCGTACTTTTTCAGAATTCCCGTGCGGTGGAGCTCGACAACACAATTCAGCGCCGTCTGCGAGGCAAAACCATGCACAGGGTTGCACCGACAGGCATCCTAATGAAGCGTGTCGAGGCAGGCAGGGGTGTAGAGGCATGCAGGAATGTCGCGGCATGCAGCCTTCTGACGGATTAAAAGATACCTGTCCGCCAAAAGAGCAAAGAACGCCTTGAGGTCTCTCTTTTTCGAGAATCTCCGAGACGAATTGCGGAGTGACGGGAACAAAGTACACCTGAGGAGAGTCGTCGCAGAAGCAGCAGCCACGCGATCGCTCGAAAAAAAAAGAAAGCTGCCAAAGCCAGATATGCCGCGATGCCCACTCCCCTATAAGCTTTCTACGCATGGTGAAAAGGAGACTGAAGAAGTCTCCCGTTCTCTCTCTCTCTCTCTCGACATTTTTTTCGAGTGTGCCGCTTATTCTCGACATGTATTCTTTCTTTGCGCATGCATCCGCCGTGTGTAAAAATACGGAGCGCTTACCCTGTGAGCCATGTGCTTCGAAGTTTGCACTGTTGCAATGTTGGGGTTGACTAGCACGACTGTAATGTTGTGCTCGCGGAGAGCTTTGATAGCCTGCGATCCTGAGTAATCGAATTCTCCGGCTTGCCCTATGCTGAGCCCGCCACTGCCTGCAAACGGAGCAGAAGAGGGGGAGAAAGTCACGGAGGAGGGGTTGGTGTTGTTGTTTCGGGTGTTCAGATAGGGGTCGGGGGTGTTACAGGAGGAGGGGTCGATGCATCGAGGCCGCTTATCCTGATGCGGCATGGCGGAAAATCTTTAAATTGAGAGCAGCGACGCTATTCGCGATTTGCGCTTGTACGTCCTCCCATCCGGGAGTTTTGTAGACGCTACGTTTTTGAGGCAGGGAGGACGAAAGGCTAGGCGCTGCTGCTGGCACGCGGAAAACGGAAAGCTGGAGGCAGTAGGAGGAGGGGGAGAAGGCTTTCTGCATACGGTGTGCGGAGGGCACTGTCTCGCGGGATCTTGAGGGCTAAACAAACTCTTAGCATGCGAAATATACGTGCGAATGACGCTGAAAGCATCAGACACTAGGAGCGTGCTTTGTGAAGTCTACTCGTGAGGCCAGAGGAAGCAAAGAACGCCTCGTGGAAACTCCCGCGAGGCGATGTGCTGTCTCACCTAGCAGGAGAATTTTGCGATAGCCACTTGGAAACTGATAGGGGATCGTGTAGATACACCGAGCCAACTGACGGAACTGCTGCCTTTTCAGGGAGTCAATAAACTCCGAAAAGAGGAAAAACGTGTCAGTCGGACCCCCTGCAGAATAACAAGACATGGGGACGGTTGCATGGAGCACATGTCGCATGCGTTCAGATATATATATATATGTATGTATATGTATAGATGTATGTGTTCCCTGGCAAGGATTTATCAAGCGCCCTATGGGGTACACCCTGGGAGAAAGCAGTTTCGAAATTCGAATGCTGGTAAGAGAGACTTGCGTTTCACAGGGCACAATTTGAAGCTTCACGACACTTCTCGAAAGCTCAGCTAAACTTTTGAAAAATCCGTCAGGGAAGAGGCTTCAGAGGGGGAGAAAGGGAGAAGAGGCGGAAAGGGGAGGAGTTGCTGCATGCAACACTCTGGCGAACCTGCAGCCTCAGGATGAAACTGGGCAGAGAAAAAAGGCAGAGATCTGTGCGAAATGCCTTCATTGCTTCGATCGTTTGCGTTCACAAACAAAGGCACATAATCTGGAGGAAGACTCTCTGCAGCACAACAGACAGCCGCCAACAAGAGCGAAAAGTCTATGCGGCTATCAAGCAACAAGATATCTCTATTATGCATAAATATACATATATATATATGTGTATGTGTGTATGTACAATACACATGTACTTATAGGCTCCTAAAATACACAAGCACGAATTAGGTCGAAAAGATCTCGAGCCACACTGCCCTGCGGAATGCTAAGCAGCAACTAGTGCCCTTGTATTACACATCGCAGAAGGAGAATATTTCATCCAAGTATCCAGGCTTATGATGTATGCATATGCATGTATGCATATGTAGATGTATGAGTATGTGTATGTATGGATGCGCGTACGTATATGTATGAGGGTAGCAGTGTATATGTGTATGTAGCAGTGCATATATGTATGTGGGAGTGTAAATATGAATGTGTTGCACATACATATATCTCTCTCTATATGAACACGTGCACCGTGCGATCAAGAGAAAGCTTCGTCTCATGCAACCTCAACCCTTAGCAGCGGCATTCGCGTCTCCCTTTAAAGTGTGAATCGCAGAGAACCCCAACAAGAGAGTGCAGAGAGGAAGCTGAAAGCACCTGTATCTACGGCAAAGCCGTGATTTTGTGCGGTGATGTAGCATCGTGTCGTTCGCAAGTCGATGACAGGTTGATTCATCCCTGGAATGGCAGACAGACAGAGAGAGGGAGATAAACGCACACACACACATGCAGACGCAGAGACAGCTGGGGGGGTAGATATATACACATATATCTATATATCTATCTATATATGTATATTTATGCAGACTTTTTCATGGCATGTCTTTAAATCCCCCAGCCATGCATGAGGAGACCGCATTCCAGCGGAAGAAGAAGCCCACGTGCATGCATACACCGGAAGGGTGCAGCCGTCAAGCAAAACATCGCACAGTCCAGAAGGACGATTACAAAGAGGCTTGCAGTGCATGAACACCACAGGCATCGCAGTTTCTCTCTATATATCCATACTCAGGCCCATAACGCAGATCTCGAAATGCCTGCATGCGTATAGGCATGCATGCATGTACACCGCAATACGCACAAAAAAGCGGCAGGGAACGACCATTCAGAAAAGGTTTTTTTCTGAACACAGCCCTCATGGAGAGAAGGCGAGACAGCAGACGGAACGGAAAAACCGAGAAACAAAGAGGAGTCGAAAAAAATCATTGCTTGTACCTCTGTTTCCAAATTTCATTTTGTATGTCTTAGCTCCTGCGGCAAGAGCAAGGAGCTGATTACCGAGACAGATGCCAAATATCGGCCTGGTTTGTTTGAGAGCTTTGCTGCAGCCGAACACTCATGACAGGCATCAAGACAGTGACAGCTCCTCTCTTGTCTCCCTCCATTCTTGCCTCCATTCTTGCCTCCTACCAACACGAGAAGTTATGCAAGTCGGGTACGCAGTAACCCCTCAAGACTCGCGCGAATGCGCTGGATGTGTGAAGCCTTCGCTTCTTTTACAGCAGCTTCTAGCTTGCACAGGGGCATGTCAAACGACAGGAGCACGAGGCTTCTTGCGAAACACATGGCGATTACCGAATTCGACAAAACTTACGCAAGATGTGCAATCGTAATTTTGCACATCTCAGGATCTCCGGGACCATTGCTAATGAAAAGACCATCGTATTCTTCAGACGTAAAGTCATAATCCCACGGCACAGCCTGCACAATCACCATCCGGCATCGGCACACTCCTCTTCTGTCTCGGGGAGAAAAAACAGAAAGCGCAGTGCATCTGATTGCAATGACAGCGAGCAGCCGTCGCAATTCGATACACTGCGAAAAGCGCCGCCAAATGGCCAAGGTGAAACGCAAGCCGGAGAAAAAGTGGCAAAAAAGAGCAGCAACAAGAGTAGCAGAAAGAGCAACAACATGAGCAGCAACACTAGAAAGAGAAGCAGCAGGAGCAACAACATGAGCAGCAACAAGAAGAGCAGCAAAAGCGCATCAACAAGCAGCAAGAGCACCAAGCAGCAGCACCAGCGAGAGCGCATCGACAAGCAGCAACTGCATCTACAAGCAGCAACTGCATCAACAAGCAGCAACAGCATCGACAAGGAGCACCAGCAGTACCACCATCAGGAGAGGGAGCCCACCTTAAGGACGATGTTGCATCCCTCAAAGTTTGTATAGAGAAACTGTCTGTAAATGTTGGCTTTCATGCCGCAGTCAACCGCAAGGATCCTCACTTGAGGCTTCTGCAGTTGGCAGACGCAAAAGAAGTCACACACACACACACACACAGGGAACAGTGATGCTTTCAGGGAGGAGAGAGAGATAGAGAAGGAAAAAAGAGAAGGGAGAGAAAATGCGATAGGAGAAAGGAGAGAGAGATACAGAGAAAGGACAGAGAGAGATAGAGAAAGGAGAAAGAGAGATAGAGAAAGGAGAGAGATATATATATATATAGAGAGAGAGAGAGAGAAAGGAGAGAGATATATATATAGAGAGAAAGGAGATATATATATATATAGAAAGGAGAGACAAGAACAGGATTGGCAGACAGCAGCATGCGTCTCATAAACGAAGCCTGTAACAGATCTGTGCTGTACTGTACTGTGACATTCGTGTAAAGAAGCCACCTCTTCTTTTCCTTCCCTCCCCTTCCCCTACCCGAACTCACAGAAACCTCCTTCTTCCCCCTCGCCATCGACTTGACTCCCTCAAATAAGCGCTTACCGATGCATTGATGGCAGATACGTAGACTTTCGGCTGTTTTGGAGAGACGTCTGCCACGAGATTTCGCAAGTTCGGGTTGTTAAGAGGCAGTCGTTCTCCCGCAGCCTTTAGAGCACTGGCAAAAACTTGCAGCCTCGCCGCCCTTTGCACACGTTCCTCGATCAGCTGTTGCAGAGCGGCTGTTGCAGAAACGTGCGAAAGTAAAGACTGCACTTCCGGGTGTGCAGACACCCGAGAAAGCAGCTCTGCTGCTGCCGCCGCTGCCTCAGGGGATGCCAGATGCTTGAGAACTGCCGCTTCTTCGTCTTCAGATAAAACAACTACCTTGCCAAGCATGGCTCCAACCTGCAGTCGAGACACCCAACAGAGAAAGAGATGAAATGCAGTACGCCCATCGCAGAAGCAACTGCACGGAAATGCCAACACACACACATAGACGTCGAGCACGCACTCTCCAGTTCTGTCTGTCTATCTGTTTGTTTGGCTAGCTGTTTGTTTGGCTATCTGTTTGTTTGGCTAGCTGGCTGTTTGTTTGTTTGGCTGTGCTGTTTGTTTGGCTGGCTGTTTGTTTGGCTGTGCTGTTTGTTTGACTGGCTGTTTGTTTGGCTGTGCTGTTTGTTTGGCTGTTTGTTTGTTTGGCTAGCTGTTTGTTTGGCTGGCTGTTTGTTTGTTTGGCTAGCTGTTTGTTTGTTTGGCTGGCTGCCTCTCTGTCACCTCTCTGCCTATCTGTCTACCTCTCTGTCACCTCTCTACCTCTCTGTCTGCCTCTCTGTCTGCCTCTCTGTCTGCCTCTCTGTCTACCTCTCTGTCTACCTCTCTGCCTGTCTGTCTACCTCTCTGTATACCTCTGTGTCTACCTCTCTACCTATCTACCTCTCTGTCTACCTCTCTGTCTACCTCTCTGTCTACCTCTCTACCTATCTGCCTCTCTCTCTACCTCTCTGCAAAAAGAGCTAAAGCGCATGCACAAAAGGCTGCTAACACACCTTGCGAAGATGCTTTGTCAGAGCCCTTGTGTCGATGCCGCACAGAGCAGGAACTCCCTGTGCCTTCAGCCAATCGCCAAGTCGACTTCTGGCTCGCCAGTGAGCGAGAGGAGCAGGAACGTAATCCGCTGTCAAGAGAGCTGTCACGTGAACGCGTGCGCCTTCCAGGTGTAACGGCAGACCCAGAGAATCCTGCATAGAAGCAGCAGCAGAAGCCGAATGATAGCGCATGCAAAACGCCGCGAAAAAACGGTAAGGAGGGGGAAGTCTCCCTTTTCTCGCGTTGAAGCGAGATGTCTCCTTCTCTCCCTTCTTCTCCCCCCTCTCTTCTCTCCTTTTCCTCCACAGACAAAAGGGATAGAGAGCGAGAGAGAGAGAGAAAGGATGCATGCATGCAGCGTTTTGTCTGGAGCGTGGAAGGGATGCGTAGACATGCAGTTGAGCCACATGCGCTGCGCTCCCGAGAATATGCGCATGCAAAAGAAGAAGCTCACCTTTTCGTCTGAAGGAACGCCGTAGTTGCCGATGATGGGATACGTCAACGTCAGGATCTGACCTGCGTAAGATGGATCTGTTAAAGACTCCGGGTATGCCACCATCCCTACAATAGCAATGAAAACAAGAGCAACAGCACAATAAAACAAGCGCATGCATGCATGCACACACGCATATGTCGTAGCAGCTCAAAAACACCCCGTTTTTTGTGTTTCAGAAACGCTGTGGCAGGTGTACAGACACCGGCAACTATTGAACGGAGTTGCCTCGCCCTTTCCTAAAGGCGCAAAAATACCAGATCCTCGAGCGATCATGAAATAAATCGGCTCCACACCTGTATTAAATACAACTTCTCCAGACACCGCACAGCTGCAGCCGAAGGAAATACCCAAGAACTGTCTGCCGTCCTGCAGGAGAAGCATCCCCATGCGCTTCTCATCTGCGTGCAAAAAATTTTGTAAAATTGAAGGGGGTGCAAAAGGAGTCATCAAAAAAAAAGGAGACAGCCAGCCTCGCCGGCTTTCTCGGCAAAACAAACACGAAACAAAAGAAACGCTTCTCCCTATGACCCCTGCGTTTTGCGTTTTCTTGCCTCCTGTGAAGAGCTACTCGGCAAAAAGAGGCTTAATTATTTCATGGAAGTCTCAACACGGCTGAAACAAGTTCGGAGATGGCGCAGACGGAAGAGGCCGCTGCTCTTTCACGTGAATAGCAGAAGTGCTGGCGTCTTAAGGGGGATTACAAAATGCAAAGACTGTGTAAATGTGTGTGTCTATGTGAAGCTCAGAATAGGCAGGTGTAGGCATACAGAGATCGGAGGTAACACTATAAATATATGTGTGGAGAAAAAGGAAGCCGCAGCAACGTTGGGAGGGTTTTCCAGAAGAAGTTCAGGATGAGGAAGCAAGCGCTGCGGGATGTAGCAAAGCAGCTGGGTGAGACACGCGGCTTTGAAGGAAGAAAAGACGTCGCAAATAAGTTCGACGTGGGGAGATGGAATGCGTGGAGAGCAGCGAGAGTATTAGGCTTACCATTGAGTCCAAGGGGCACCCCCCCCCAAGTAGCGGCTAGAGTTGCCTCTTCGGAAAGTGCCTTTTCCACTGCAGCAGCAAAAGCAGCTGCCAGATGCAACTCCTTCTCCGGCGGGAGCTGGGGGGGACGCATTGTCTGAGAAAGAACGATGGAAAAGAAGCGAAACGCCTGCGTTCTTGGTTGTGCCGCCGTGTGGGTGGCAAACGATGAGAAGATCTGGCTTGTATTTAGCCGTCACGAAGAAGGCTAGTTCTTTGTTTATTTCTCTCTTTCTCTCTTTGTATCTCTCTTTCTCGCGTTCTACGGAGGAAGAAGAAGGCGCGTGCAAAGAGAAACTTGATTGCGGGCAGAGGCGAGTTGGAAGTTTCTGTGTCTCTCTCTTTCTTCCGTCCTCTGTGCAGTGCGTTCCTCAGTCTTCTGAAGCAAGGGCCCTCCCGCTAAGCTTTGTTTGACAAGACACGAGGTTACAAATGAAGCTGCAAAGGAAAGAAAGGCGATGTAGAGCCACCACCTTCCCGTTCAAATGGGGCAGCTTCTGCTGTCTCCCCACCTGCTGTGTTGTTATAGCATGAGAAAAAACGCTTTCTCTCTCGCACGCATGCATGCACAGTTAAGAGAAGTGCGTTAGACGACTTTTAAAATCCCCAGTGACGTCTAAGCCAATTATTTCCGGCTATTTCCCAGGCTTCCAGGTCCCCTTCCCTGCATGCATGCACAGAGAGAGAGAGCAAGCGGCTTCGAAGGACTGCGAGCAGCAGCAGCAACGGCTACTCCAGACACCGCAGGCAGCTGAATCGTCTTCCCCCTGCTGAAGAATTAGGAATATATTATTCACCAATTCTACATCTTTGCCAAATAGCAGACTGAGGACTAGCGGATGCAGAGCAGCCGCTGCTGCTGGTGGAAACAGACTACCCCCAGCAGCAGCAGTAACACCAACCCACGGGCAGTAATTGACGGCAGTCGTCGTGCAGCAGCGGCAGCGCAGCACGACAACTCATAATGCCTTCACAAGCGTCGAGGAGACACCTAAAAAAGCATCACATGTGCTGCTATTAGCGAGAAGAGCACAGGCGTCGGAAGCTGCAGTGCTTGCTGCAGCTCCAGCTGCAAGAGGCGTTGCTGCAGCCAACACTGCAGCAGCCATCCATGCTGGCAAGCCCACCCTTTGCAATGAGTCGTTCGAAAGGCGAATGCAGAGTCTAGGGGATGATGTCACAGCAGCTGCTGCTGCTTCCCCTGCAGCTACCATGGCACTAAGGGTAGATGCTCCTGCTTCGAGTTCAGATGCAGATGCTGCATCTGAACTCCCTGCTACTACTGCTGCTACGACTGCGACGACACCAGGCACGCAGTCGCGTCTCCGGCATATTACACGCACTAACAGCAGCAGCATGAACAGCAGCAGCATGAACTCCGCTACAGGGAGTGTTGCTGCTGTGCGAGAAGGCGAACACATCACCCGCCTTTTGACACGCTCTGTTACAGCGGCAGGGGGTGTAGTGGAGGCAACAGCGGAAGGAGTAGCTGGAGACGAACATTCATCATCCAAAGCTGCGCTTTCTCACAACGTTCAGTCTGTAAAAAGACGTGGCAGCAGCAACAGCAACATTAGCAAAAGCAACATCAGCAACATCAGCAACAACAGCAACAACAGCAGTGGTGATAGGGCGGTACAATTACAGCGTGCTGAGACGTGTTTGCGACTTGCAGCAGCATTAGCCAACCAGCCATCATCCAGCCATGTCGCTTCTGCAGCTGTATCACTTGCAGCTTCAGATTCTCTGACCATGGCATCCGCAGTTGCTGCCAGCAGCAGTCTCGACGTCAGCAGATCTCTCATCAAAGGAGGCATCGCATGCATACCCCTCGCTGCTCGTCTCCGTGTGGCTGCCTCTTGTTTTGACTGCGATGCGGCTGCAGCTGCTGCTGCAGCCGCATCGCGTTCTGTTGCCTCGGCTACCACGGCGAGTGGAGCTCAAAGCAACACGAATGCAGGCGAAACAGCAACAGCAGCATTGATGGGAAGCAACAACAGTAGCAGCAACAACAGTAGCAGCAACAACAGTAGCAGCAACAACAGTAGCAGCAACAACAATAGCAGCAGCAGCAGTAATAGCGCATCTCTAGGAGCTGCCTTCCAGAGCAGTGGAAACTTCGCCGCTTCAGCAGCAGCAGCAGCAGCCAGTGCTGCTGCCATGCCAAGCGGAAAGTCTGAATCTACCGCAGAAAATTCTCGAAATGCAGGAGCTCATATTGGGCAGACTGCTGCACAGCAACTGGCGGCAACAAACTTCACCACTGCACCAACAGCTCCCCTCGTGAATCCCTTTCTCTTTGCAAGCCGCTGGCGAGGAATGCTCAATTCAGTCTCTTCAGCTGCGACGGCATGTGTTGAAGCCTCGGCAGCTGCAGCAGCAGCGGCAGCAGAAAAGCGGCTAGACTCTCATTTGCTACGGCTCAATCACAGCAGCAGCTTGCTGCTGACAGGGGCAGACATCCGCGTGCTGCTTCAGTGGCGGCAGGAAGATGTCATCTTGTATGAGCGACGAGAACGCTTGCGGAAGCTGCACGAGAGGCTTTTGCGGCTGCAGCAGCAGCAGCAGCAGCAGCAGCAGCAGCAGCAGCAGCAGCAGCAGCAGTCTATACACCTCGTGTTGCTGGACGGCCCGGTGTCTGTAATTGCTCCTTTGGCAGCCTCAACGGCTGCAGTTGTTGCTGCGGAGCAGAGACTGCAACAAGTTCGAAGATGCCATGAGTATCGTCTGCTGCATGCCTTCGCTCTGCAGCAGCTGCTGCAGTCGCTGTTGCTGCTCGGCTTGCCGCACTTCGCCGCTACGCTTGCTGCAGCAGACATTTTCGAGGAAGCTGGTTTGTGTGCATTGGCAGCGATTGGGCAAAAGCGGTTCGAAGAGTGGGATATGGCGCATGCATTCGTGGAAGTTGCTGCTGCTGCTGCAAGCGCAAGCGCAAGCGATGAAACCTCTGTGAAGGGAACGACCCCTACAACGCGCAATCAAAAAAAAGCGGCTGCAGCAGCGGCGGCTGCAGCTGCAGCGGCTGCTGCTGCCGCTACAGCAGCAGCCGCAGCACCCAAAACGCGCAGCAGCAGCAGCAGCAGCAGCAGCAGCAGCGGCAGCGGCACAAGTCAGACTCCGTTTGCGGGAGGGGTGAAGAGTGCAGTTGCCTCGTCTTTGAAGATAGGAGAAGCGGCTGCTGCAGCCTTGGCGCGCTCCAGCCGTTGGAAGTCTTTCTGCGGAGGATTGCAACGTGGAGAAGGAGGAGTAACAACAGCCGCAGCAGGCGCAGATGCAACAGCAGCAGCGGCAGACGTCGATGCAACAAACGCAACAGATGCTGCAGCAAGCGTTACAGCAGCCACTTCGGCAGCAGAAGCAGAGGCAGAGGTGTTGCGCTGTTGCGAGAAGGCTGCAAAGCTTGCTGCAGCTGAAGCAGGGGTAGATCCAGAGTGTGGCTGCTTCGAAAACAGCAAAAGCAGCAGCAAAAAGAGCAGCAAAAACAGCAAAAACAGCAAAAACAGCAGCAGCAAATTGCGCGTTCCCCTCCTTCTATCGCGTGTTGCATACGTCCACTACCACTCGCTCCCCCTCTCTGCGCCTTCGGATTGGATGTCTCCTCATGACATTGCACATTTGGTAAGTGGAAAAAAGAGGCGCGCAGCGTATAGAGCAGGAAGGAGGGAGCGGGAGGGGTGGAAACACACAAACAAACAAATACAGACATACATTTACTCAAACAAATACACAAACAAATACACACATACATATGCATACATACATATGCATACATACACAAATACACAAACAAATACACACATACATATGCATACATACACAAATACACAAACAAATACACACATACATATGCATACATACACAAATACACAAACAAATACACACATACATATGCATACATACACAAATACACACATACATATGCATACATACACAAATACACACATACATATGCATACACAAACAAATACACAAACAAATACACACATACATATGCATACATACACAAATACACAAACAAATACACACATACATATGCATACATACACAAGTACACACATACATACACATATACACATACGCACACACACACACACGCAAACAAACACTAGCAAATACACACATACATATGCATACATACACAAGTGCACAAACAAATACACACGCACACACATACCCCCTTTTAGTGCAGTGGCGCATGCAGCCCACTGCAGCAGCGGGGGGAGGCACTTTAGCGCTCAGAGAGTTGGCTGCTTTTTTGCGGCTGTTGATTCTGTTTCTTGCGTGCCGCAAGATGGGGGTAAGAGGATTGCTTCCTGCGGTTATTTCTACTGTGACTATTACTGTTGTTGCTACTATTACTGTTGCTGTTGGTGCAGCTTTCTTCTCCAAGTGAACCTTCGCTAGAGCCTGTGATGGTTGTTTTGCTACCCCGTCGTCTCAAGTATCCGTGCCAGCATGACGATAGCTCCAAGTAAGACATGCGTTATGGGAGATGCAGGCGTTAGAGCACTCGACATGCCTTTCGTAAGGATGCAGATCAGACAAATGTATCGTCGGATGTGTGATTTAAAAAGTCGCGAATGCGTTATCTATCCGTGACGAGAAGCTGAAAAAGGCGACAAGGACGGAAGCCATTCGCGTTTCGCTTGGATCTTGGTGAAGGGGGAGGATAGGGGTGGAAGCTTCAGCGAATGAGATATTTTCCTTCGTTTGCACGCCTTTCTGTGTGTGTTTCGCCGCAACAACAGGCACTCGAAGAGGCGTTGTTGTCATCTGAGTGGTGTGTCTGCTGCGGCGTATCTGCTGCAACTGAGACTGCCGCTTTCGACGTTTTTGTGCCTTGCGAATGCAGACATCCTGTCGCTGTCAGCCAGGGGCAGGCGATCTGTCTCGCAGCTCCTTTGCTCGTAGATGCAGTGGCTGTTGCGTCGGCAGCAGCAGCTGCTGCTGGGGAAGGCGCGTCTGGAGGAAAGCCAGCGACTGCGGCTGAGATGGCAACGCAGCAGCGCGCAGACGCAGACGCAGACGCAGACGCAGAAGAAGCCACAGAGACAGAGACAGTACAAGCTGCGGCACCAAGCAAGGCTCCCTTCT